TTTTTTTTTTGAAGGTTGTAAGTGAACCAATCTGAGTAAACCAATCAACTATTCATCGGAAAAGTTTCAACGAATAATAGTTTCATATAACCTCAATTTCAAGAATTTATTGAAACTCATGGTATTCTCTGAAAATATTATTTCTTTGGAATAAAGACTCATTTTTGGTATGTTTGCCTCAATTCTCTTGGCAGACAACCAAACGAATTTACGAATTAGCGAATTTAGCTAGCCATCGTGATTCATGAGATTTTCTTTTCAGAACCAATCTAAAGGCATGCTGATATGTCAATTTGAGGTAGTGGTTGACTTCCACAGTTTCTCAAAGACTCAAACATGGGTGACCTATGTTGGTTTTTTTTTTGAGAATTTTTTTCAAACAAGCGTAAGAAGAGTAAACCAAAAAAAAAGAGCGTAGACAAGAACTAAAAAAAGCATACCTTTTATGGATGTGCGAGTAGAGTTGTAGGAAACTTTTCCATGACATCTGTTGGTCCTTCCCTAGAGAATATCATTTCGAGGAGTCCTTGGGACGGACCCTCTTTCCAGTCGTACTCGGCTTCCATGAGAATGCTGATCCAGCCAAGGTCCTTAGGTGGCTAACCAGCACCAAACAAGTGCCGCATACCTCTGGCCCAGACATTCGTCGATGGGATACGAGGTTCAAAGGGCACTGCCGCTGCATGTGCCTCTTCTGGCGGCTAAATGTCACTCGTTGTTGAGTGATTAGCCATTAAAATTAAGGGACTGGGAGTGTAGCCTTTGGAAGTAACCGCGAGCTATCAGATAGCCCGTCGGTTTTCCTCAGGCAATCATAATAAATAATCATGAAATTCTCCCTAAGCAAAATTGGACTCACACTAGTTTTTCTACTAGTGAGAACTTAATTTTGATTTTGGTAAGGCACACAGTGGTCTTTCCACTAGTGGGAAATTGAAAAAAATGGGCTCACAGTGGTCTTTCCACTAGTGAGCGGGAAAAAAGTACATTCACAGTGGTCTTTCCACTAGTGAAGTCATAAAAATTGAAAGGCATTCTCACAGTGGTCTTTCCACTAGTGAGAATTATGAAAATCAAAAGTACTCTCACAGTGGTCTTTCCGCTAGTGAGAGTTAGGAATTAAAAGTAGGTCCACAGTGGTCTTTCCGCTAGTGATACCTTATCATACTCTATAATAAAGCGCAGGGGGACCATGTGACTCATGCGTTTGTCGCTATGTCTCGAATGCACCCAATGCACCCAGGATGTCTGCCTTCCGAGATGTTGACTGGAACGCCCTTTCGTGCTCAACTCCATAAACAGTACTATCGATTAGCATTATTGTCACCAAGTAACAGCTCGCTTCATTTCAATTAGCGCATTAGGATGTGTCAACTTGGTACCAGTCTATTTTAGTTGCCAATTTCTATAACTTAATTGTACAAAAGCACTGCTTTACAAAGTTGTAAGTGGTGCAGCAGAAATCCCAGATGGGATTTTCCCTCATGAAAGTTCTCGATTTTGATACACCAACAGCCGTATTTTTAGTAATTGTTTAACATTTCATATTGTGAGCAAAATAATGGGATTCTGGCCGCATTGTAACTAAAGGGAGTGTGACAGGCTAGAAAGGCTTTCAAGGAAGGAAAATGGGGAAAATTGAAATATGGCAGATGAAGTTTCGTGAATGGAAGTTAAATCGTAAGCACTTACATGAAGAGTCTGAGGAAAGGAGGCGGGGTAGGATGGAATTTTACTTATTGACTTTGAGGTTAAGCGTAGAATCTCAATAGTAGAAGTCGAACTTTATTCGAAAACTTGGTAAAGGATGTTTGAGCAGTAGGTGCGATTTGAGAGGGAAGAAGAGGGAAATGCGGTCTCTCCTCATGAGGAATTACCGCAGGTGGAGCTTTTGGTAGAGTAGAATAGCCTGCACCTTAGCCAGCAAATTCTGTGTGGTACTGTATAAAAAGCTGAATTTTGGCGAAAAGCGTAGGCATACTTTCGATAAGCAACGTTGAGGTTACACATTGTAATGGCAGCGTCAGCAGAAGGAGAACCCGAAAAGTAGGACAATAATTGCAGAAATGTTCAAAGAGTTTCTACTTAGAAAAAGTTTTAGAAGATAATAAGTTTTCCTTCTAAAAAACTCTACTGGAAACTGTTTAATTATTCCGTTCGTAATCTTCCCTCTCTATTCTCCGTAGGTAGGTAACTAATGGGGAAAGAGAAAAGCAAAATCCGCTCAAAACTTCAAACGCAGGAAAATTGCACACATGAAAGTGATATTTACGTTATTCTGTACCAGTAGGGTGCGGGGAGCTGAGGAGAGGGGAGGAAGGGGGAGGGGGAGGCAAGAGAGAGGAATGTACCTGGCATGAACAGAAAAAGCCTGGAGTGGAGTCAAGCAAGTTATTGGCACGCTTCCGTAAAAGTTCTAGCATTGAGAGGATTTTGATGAAGCTAACGCAGCATGTGGCGTGCAGCTATTTGAGTCCAAGTCTGTTAAGGACTGTTGGAGTTTCTTATGAGCTAAAGAGCTAGGGGCTAACTTACCAATCTTCAGTGCTTTCTACATAAAAATTTTGCGTGCCTGAAAGGCATTATGCTACATGGGGTTTGTATTCTGTACCAGTAGGGTGCGGGGGGCTGGGAGGGGCCGGGGAGGGGGGAGGGGATGGGACGAGGGTAGGGGTGGGGAAGAGAGGGAGAGGAAGGTACTATGACACGGATATAAAAGCCCTGGAGTGGATTCAAGCATTTAGTGGCACTCAATCCGAGTTAGGAAGATTGTAGTGAAGCTAAGGTAGCATGTGGCATGGAGCTATTTGAGTTGTTGAAGAGTTAGAGAGCTAGAAAGTAACTTACTACTACTCTCTACACGTATATACCTAAAGTTTTTATGCTATACTTTTGGCTACGAAAAGATTTGAAGACAAAACTTCACAAGTTCTAGCCTTTGAACACTTCTCACTCTACACGCAAGCCAGTTCAAAGCGCCGCGAAGCGGCGCTTTGAACTGGTATTTACATATTTACAGTGCCGGCTGTGGCGATAGAGTCATTGAGTTCTTGTATAAAAGCATTATATAAAAATTCAGGCATTCCCCATGAAAAAAAAAAATGGGAATAGAGACGAAGAAAGGCAAAAGAAAGCAGTAAAAATAGTTCACGGCTCGCGGAATCACGGCTCCGGGATATCACGGCTCTAGGAAATCACGGCTCGCGGAATTCACGGCTCGCGGAAACTCAATCTAGAGATTTCGCGTCGAAAAATTCACGGCTCGTTTCACGGCTCGGGGGATCACGGCTCGCGGGTTAAGGCAAGGAAAATTGAAAAAAAATTATTAGATGGATGAAAAATAGAAAATAATGTTCACTAAGATTAGCAAGTCAATACAAAACTCAACTCATCGCCTGACTCAAAAGAATAAGTGAGGAAAACAAAGAAGAGGAAAAAAACTACGTAGGAACGTAGGAGATGAGCGCTGGTGCCGGCGGTGGGAGTTTGCAAAAGATTTGGCCAAAATCTATGCTGGTTTAATTTCAAAAGTTGGTGATTCAAAAAACTGGAAGAATGATTGATTCAGAAAAATGTGAGTCACAAAAAGAAAACAACCCGGGACCTCCATGTCAAGTCCAGGAGGTGCACTCTCCTGACTTGAATCCTTCACCCTGATTGTCTTACTTTATATGAACATGACATTATGACTAGAACCTTTATTATATATTTATGAATAGAATGAGAGGGGAAGGGAAACCGCCGGTCACCCGGTTAGGCACAGCTCATCTGGAGTTGCTGGGCACCGCCCAGTTGGCGTGGAGACTGTCGGACCATCCAATTAGTCTGCGTCTCGACACGTTTCTAATCAGTCTGATGTGAAAATCCTGAACCGCTGCGAATTTGACATGTCCTGCGGAAGTTTCGCTGAATTGTCTCACCTGCACTGCAAGCCCCCCCCCTCTTATATGTTATGGATGACTTACTCTGGGACATCCGCTTTGAAACTGCATCCTTGTGACCCTGAGGTGAAAATGAGCTTCACTGCCCTCCTTTACATGACTATGGGAAAATGCTTGATTCAACATGGTAAGTCTTCAAGTCCTTAGAAGAACGTAAACAAATCAATAAATCGATAGAAGGACCCAGTGTATTCCAGTGAAAGGTAGCCTAAAACCGTCTCCGGGGTCGAAAACATCTGTGTGCAAACGTTCAGCCCGATCGGTTGAATGGCTCACCTTTCTATAACACACATACCCTCCAAACAGACAATTTCTGAGTTTTATATGTATAGAGATGTGAAGAGTGGACAAGATACCGGCTCATTTGCTCCTTCTCTTACGGAAAACTTTGTTTTTAATTGTACTTTGCCCTAGAAACCTCACTACAGAAATAACCGCAAAATCACATATCGTTCAACAATAAGTCAAAATTTCAAGGCCTCCACGATAAGAACGGTATCCTAATCCCGACTTTCTTCCATTTTTTTACTGCGGAAGCTTCAGTCAAGTTGCGCGCCCTATCGAGAAATTGTGCTCACCTGATGCCGCAAAGCGTCGCTGACGTTTCCGCTTTCACCAACGTTATAAAATTGAGCTGTTCCTTATGGAAATGATTCATTTCCTCAATTTGGAAGTGTTCCAGAAAGTTTGGCAATGTTGTGTTGACGTTTGCCCTGTTAGGAAAGTTGTTCTTTCCTCCTATGGCTTTTACGACGTATCTGATTTATGGTTCTTCTTTTACGTATAGAGGTTGCTTCTTAATGTTTCAGTTTACTTTGTCAGGGTTCTTCCTCTTTAAAAGCTTGGACTTTCAATTTTGTCGTTCGAAATTTGACAACACTTACTTGTTCATTGTTTTTTGATTTTTTAAGCATAGTAATTTTACAATACCTCCGAATGTCAATCCGTAATTCTAAAAATTGCGTCACTGACCAGAGGGATTGTATTTATTCGTTTGCTTTATTATTGCTATTCTCTTTTTTTGCTCATGTTGATGCTGTTCGTCTTTTTTTTCCTTCATGATGGATAGTCATCTCGCTGGTGAACATCTTTTCAGTAATTGCTATTTTTAGTCCGTCTAGCGGCTCATCGACAACTTCCGTCGTCGGTGTTCGAACTGACGGAAGAGGGGAGAGGGACCACCAATTATGGTTTCTCTCGGCGGGGAGGGCGCGTTTCCTCCTGGCTCAACCGTACATTTTAAGACCGCCCTGGGAGCTTCTCTTCAAGCACAAGTCGTTTGCTTCGATCCAGCGCTTAAGGTATGCAGTTTAACATTAGCTCATTTTATAGAATTTTTCGATACAAAAATGCATTTTAATCCATAAATCACGATTTTATCCTTGTCCTCATATTTTTTCTACTTTTTCGGAAATCGCATAGTGATTCTAACTCATCAATAGCAGCTTACAGGAGAACGAAATCGCTGTTATGTAAATTTGGCTCCAAATTCTATGAATTCTGTTGTTTAGGTCCTTGTTGTGCGTGACACTTCGAGTGGAAAAGCGACCGTGCGAATGTTCAACATAGCACTCATAAGCGAGGTCTGTCACTTTTACTCTTTTTTCGCTTTTCCCCTTAGTCTTTGAACCTCTTCAGTTATTGTTTAGTGAAATTTTATTTGTCGAATTAATTCGTCTGATTGTATGTGTTCAGATCAGAGAAATAGCGGGACCAGCTAATGGTGACACGCTTGAAACCATGTTTTCTCCTAGCTCAATGAGTAATCAACAGGTAGCCTTTTGTTTGTTGAACATTTTACTTTGTGAGTATGAGATTTTATGGTTATGAGATAATGCTTTTATTCATTGGAGTAGTAGAAGCAGTTTTTTACTTTCTATCTTGTTATTTTCACTTTTCATCTTAAGGCGATATACTGATCGGAAAAGTAAGAGTTTCGTTCTTTCTATAATGCTTTCAATTTTCACTTCATAAGGAGCATAACGTAGGCATTTAGTAACAACGATTATTGATTTATCACTCATCTTTGACTTCAAATCTATCATTCTTCTCTGTATCACATAAGGATGAACCAGTTGCCTTCTGTCTGCTTTTTTCTCAAGCAGTGTTTCTAGGTAAATGACCGAAGTGCGATTGCTGAAAATCGTCGTTGCATTGAAGCGATGGAGACCGATGTGCCTTTGGAAGGACAGCGAGCGTTCATACAACTTCGACGAACTCTCGATGATGTTCGTTGGAGAGGAGAAGATATCTCAGTCCTTGAACGCGTCGTAGTCCGACCACCATACACCCCTGAAAGTGCTGCTGCATTGCATGTGAGTACTGCGAGTTTTTCTTTCCCTTTTTTTGTCATTTTAATCGCTTCGCATTTTTTGTAAAAGTTATTTTCATGGAGAAAGAATAAATTTCACGGACAGAACGATTACTTTCAGAACTGGGGTCTTTTATTTTCAACGCGTAAAAGTCTATCAATGCATCACTTTTTCTAGCCAATAAATAGATTTTTGGCATCCAAGTTTATCATTTAATTAGGCAGCCGTTAAAAATGACGATGTTTTTACTTGCGGCGTAGTGTGCAGTGTGCAAAGAAGAAAGTAAGAAAAATAAGTAAGTTGGAAGTAAGCACTAACATCAAGAATGCAAGCGGTAGCCTATTTTAGCCTAGAGGCATTTGGAAGTGATGCGGCAGAGTAGGAGAGAGGGAGGGGTAACGAAGCGGTCTCAGTTTTGTAGCTTTTAGTAAGCTTTGGAAACAATGGTTCTTTGGTGGCTTCTAGTAATCATCTCGATTCTCATTGAGTTTAGGAAAAAAGCGATTTCCAAAACGATTTGATCAAGTGTTGCCCTAGAAAAGTAGAAGCCTGTTGTGAATAAACATCTTCTTTATCTTTCTTCTATTTTTTCTGCATCAGTTGATTTTGGGGCTTTCGGCTCGCTACATTATCCGAAAAGGCGTTGTTTAGGAAGGCGACTCACAGGCTCAGTCCGCTTTAATGCACGTGCGGAAAATCCTCTCAAAACCATTTGTGCCCGAAGTAAGGCTGACGCCATGCTGTGATGCTCCAGAAGACAATGGAGAAATCTGACTGTCGCCCAACATGTATCCTTCGCAGGCTTGATTTCTACACATCAAATCATTTCGTCGAATTATCTTTCTCTTCTTTACTTCCTTCTACCCAATCGCACCATTCAGTGTGGTTGAGTGCAACTGATGTTTTCCCTCCATAGTGTTCTAACATTTGCGTAGTTCACTGTGGTTCGCATATTCAGCTAGGTGGATGCAGATAGATGTCGTTTTACGTTGGCAGACAATGACTAGTACCATAGATGTCATCGTCTCTGTCAGCTCAAGTAATATTTTCATACTTTCTGCTGTCTGGTACACTGAGATAGTCTTAGGCAGTCACGTAGATTTGGTAAAGCTTCCTTTAGTCATGCCTTACGTCACTGCCTAGCTAGTTGACGCTCATTGTCCCAATCAGCTTGCTCTTCTCTGTTATCCGTTCCACACCCACCTCTTGCTCCATTCTTTTCTAGCTCTTCTGTAAAGTTGTTGATGACGTATCTTGGAGTAGGATGTTTAAACATTAGTCATCTCGTCAAATCGGATGTTATACTGATGGCTAATAGGTCTTGATATTTCTTAGGTATCCAATATACTGCTCCCTTTTTGTTTTCGACATATAGTGCTCACATCATCGACTAAGACTTTGTGTGATGTGCTTATCGTCGTTTTTTGAATTTTGTTCTAATAGCGATGATAATTTGTAGTAGATTTAGTTTAAATAAGTGATCTAGACTGTTCCATCTATTAACTGTCGGTGTACACCGCTTGTTATCGTCTCTTCTTTTACTCAGGCAGGTCTATTGCTGTTATCCGAACTTGATGGAATAATTAGTTTTTAATTATTGCCCCCTCGATAATGAGCAAATATTCTCAGCTTCAATTTGCACAGTGCTATATCCATTTTGCATACAAACGCCAGCATTGAGCTAATTTTGGCAACCGTCCTTTTGCAGAAGATATACTTACGGCAAGCCTTTGCACGAGCAAGCCTGTGTAAAGCGCAAGACAATAACTGCATGTTTTTGCTAATGCACTTTCAGTCACGTATGTCAGATCCTGATGACGATATCCCGCGACTGCCGGCCGATACATTAGCCATTTTGCAACAGTTTCAAGAGGAGCAGCGAAAAATTGCTGAAGGCGTTGTCGATGTTGTCACGGAAGATTGGCAGGTTTCCATTCAATTTCTTTTCTATGGACTTATTGGTAACCATACGGATGTATGACATTTAGCTAAGTCAGTTTTGGTATGCCCCGGAAACAGCCCGGCAGCTTTGTCGCGAACTTGTTGATGCCACTGGAGGAAATGGTCATATTGCATGTATATCCTGCCCTACTTTGATGCAGTACTTTCCTGAAATTGATGTGAGTTTCTTTCCAAAAATGTTTTTTGCCCTTTTCCAGCTACCATTTTTTTGTTTCTTTTATCTAGTATGTGTTTCTCATTTTTATCTACTTCTTCAGGACTATGAAAAGGGTAAAGTTGCAATCAGATTGCTTGAATATGATCATCGTTTCGAGAAGAAATTCCCTCTGGAATATGTACCATGTGACTACAGACATCCTTTGGCTATCCCCGAGGAATTGAAAGGTTTGTTTGTCTTGCTTTGGAACATGCCACTCACAGGTGTTTAGGTGTCTTCGACGTTGTTATTGCCGATCCCCCTTTTCTTGCTGATGAGTGCTTGGTGAAAACTGCGCAGACCGTGCGTTTGCTTGCGAAACCAAATGCGAAAATTCTTCTGTGCACTGGAGCTATCATGGAAGAGATGGTTTGTTTATTTTTTTCTTCGATTTGTTAACTTTAGTTTTTAGGCGGACCGTTTGCTTGGGCTTCATCGATTGAAATTTGAACCTCAGCATGCTAATAACCTTTCCAATGAATTTTCTTGTTTTGCTAACTACGATACGAAATACTTATGATCTTTGCGAGATACTGCCGCATTAGTTTTGCACTATCTACAGCGATGTGTATATACCCGGTTTTCTGCTCAGGTAACGTTCAAAGCCTTCACAGAGGTCATGAAATTTCTTTGCAAAAGTTGTTATATTTTGTTGATTTTGTCCAATAAAAGAATTTTCAAGGTTTTGTTTGAGTGCCGAGGTTTCTTCCATACTATCTCCCATTGCTTTGTTTGCATCTGTTTCCTCCTGCATAATGTATACATTTTATTTCACAATTTATTTAGAATTAACCTGATGTGAAGATCAAGAATTAACAAACAGATTCACTTCTTTTCGGCCACAATTGCCTGTATACCGTGTATACACCCAGTTACCTTAACCTTTTTGGCCCTTTCTTACTCTCTCATGGCACCTGCTGGTCAGGGTCTAACCTGGTCGGACGTACTTTGTTGTGTGGTATGTAACCAGGTAAGACGCTTGTTCCTTTTTATATCTTATGTGTTGATTCATGTCTGCTTACAGCTATTCGATCATCATCGAGCCCCAGTAAATCTTATTTGTGGGCACGTGGTTTGTACTCGATGTATACCACAGTTGTATGATAATTCATGCCCAGAAGACCAGGTATAACTGCAGCACATTGTTGTATCGTTACTTCGTGTTTTCTTTTGCTTTGTTTCATCTATTAGAGTCATTCTCTGAGTTGTTATTTAGTGTGAGGCTAGCTTTCCTGTGTCGACTTATCCGATCAATGCAGCTCTCCTCTCAATCGTGACAGATGAGGTTGATGAATATCTACCACTCTGGAAGGTAGAGGATGTTTCAAAGGTGTGTTGAATGTTGACATTATTGAAGACATCCACATTGGCCAAATATTATTGCCGATCCAGAAATTGGCGAATGCAGTTGGTAGAATCTTCTCAACTTCATTGATTGAAAATCCTACCATTAACTTGCAGGACATATTGTCATCTATAGAGAATGCATTAGTTTCGATGGCTCAGTATCTTCATCGCGCTGAATCGGAGAGGGGTGGTACAGTATTTAGCGAGGTGAGTACATTTTAATTATTATTTGCTCCTTATCTACTATTATCTTCTATTATTTGAGGCCTGTTTCTCTAGTTGTTAAAGGCAATGTCTCACCAAAGTTTAGTTGCCAAGATTTTTGCATTTTGCAAGCCTGTCGGACCCTGTCTAGCACTGTATGGGCTTAAAATCGCAGAAGTTCTCAAAAACTCCGTTTTCTGGAGGCCTCGCGGAAGCGACGTGGACGAGTTGTTCCTTCCAACTTCAGCCTCAGCCACAGTGGCAGCAACAGAGGGGAGGTGGATGCCAAGTGGAGGGACATGTTCAAACGCGTAAGGGGGGAGACTGAAGAAGTCGTCCGCGCGTATCAAATCGCTCTCCGCGTATCACTTTGAGCGAATTATTCTCAGCCTGGAGTGGGTCAAATTGAGTGGGACTTGTTGCAGCCTATTTAGAGGTCCCTATAATAGAATATGAAGATCCGCGCGACCTCAACTTTGGTGAGACACTGCCTTTAAAGAAAATTATTCTTAACATCCGTGTATTTACCTTTCCAAGAATTCTCAGTTCCAGAATCATCGCATATAATTTTGAAAGTTCATCTTTTTGTCCATTAGCTGCTGTTTGCTTTACTCTTCGTCATAATTCAAGCATTTCGACGCACCATTATTTTAGATCTTGTCACGCACTATGCAACGAAAGCTAGTCTCTTTGCTTTGTTTCCAACTTGTCGAAGAAGAAGGTCGTTCTCGCGCACTCAAAACTTCTCGAGCAATCGCTGAAAGGATTATGACGGAGGTTTGCTGGTTTGGAGTACAAAATGAAGTTCACTTATAACGCTTTAGTTATTACTAAGCCAACAAAACTCCGGTAGTCTTAGCACACATCTCTGGACTGCTGTTCGAGCTCGCGGCTGTCAATTTCTTGGTCCAGGTCTGCTGAAATTCTTGACATTTTTTTATCAATATAAACTATATGTGGCGCAGCGATGCAAGAGGATGTACTCAAACTGATTCTTCTTGCTCTTGACAAGGGTGCTCTCATAGCTCGCAAGACTCTAGTGATGTATGTGGTGCAGATGCTATCAGAGGATTACCCTCAGGTTTGTTAGCTTGAAATTAGCAAGCTTGTTGTGAACTATCTAGATTAGGTATCAAAAACCTGTGTTGGCCACGTCGTGCAACTTCTCTATCGCGCATCTTGCTTCAACGTTATGAAGCGCGATGGCGAGTCATCACTAATGCAGTTGAAGGACGAATTTCGAAGTTATGAGTCTTTGAGAAGGGAACACGATGCTCAGATTGTTCAGGTTTGTGCTGTTATCTTTTTTAATAATGGTATTTGGGTTGGGCTTGCTGATAGAGTCGTTGATGTTGAAATTGTTTGATTTGTTGCTTTGTATCTATTGTTAAACGATTTGTTTTCTATATTGTTGTTCTCAGTCATTAATTTACTCATACGGCGTGATGCGCTAATTTGCCGTGCTGTGTTTTCAAAGGATTTTCTTTCCGCGAAAAATCGTTTTGTCAACTTGATTTATAATTCATTTTCAGATGGCAGTTGAATGTGGCCTTAGAATTAGCCCTGATCAGTGGAGTGCCTTGCTCTATGGAGATCAAGCTCATCGTTCACATATGCAGTCTATCATAGGTTCGCTTTTTCTCGTTGAAGTCTATGCATGCATTCTAATTCTCATCCTATTATCGTTGCTGCATCTGACAAGCCGCATGTCTGTCTCAAAGTTGGCTCAAAGTTCACAATTTAATATCTTTTCTGAAAAATTTGTTGAGTTTTCGATAGTAGGACATGACGCTCATGAAAATGTTTGAGTTTTTTTTCTTGCAAAATTCGATTTTCGAGAGCTGATAGCGTTGACATTTGTGTGCAGTATGTATAGGCTGCTGCATGACGAAGGCGCAATATCTGCGGGCGCGAACGCGGCTTTATTAACCGCAGAGCGCATGAGGTGCGGGATCTACAAGGTGAGGATACACGCGCGTCGCGTTCGCGCACGCTCAACTAATATCGCCTTTGCGCCTTCGTCATGCAGCAGCCTTTACAACGAACAAGAAATATAAGCACTTACAAGAAATAAGGTATCATTTCTGTCACAAATCTGAAGGACTTTCTGCAGGCTTTTACGTGGCTATTGTATGATTTAGGAGACAGCAATGACCCAGTATTGCAGTTATTAAGCCACCCTTTCTTCTTTGAACTAATTTTCAGATCGTCTACAAACTCCTCATTCATACATGCAAGGAGTTGATGAGCTTGCTGCTGTAGCGAGTGGGTCAGATTCCAGTTCTGCCGTCTGTGATTTGGCACAAATGGCTCAGTTACTGCGTGTCTTTGATACACTTCCTGGTCACCATGGTGCGATCATATCTCAAGTTTTTAATTCAACTCATTTTTTTTGCAGAACGAGTGGGATGGAAACGGTTTTCGGACTACATAGATGCGTTATATAAGCTGATAAAATCACATGCTGAGTTTACTTTGAAAAGGTAGATAGCTCGTTTACTTAATGTCTTTGAAAATCCTTCTTTCAAATTCACTGAAACAACTTCATGCGATTACATTGACAGAAATGAGCAACGTGCACGAGATGCTCAGCGTGCTGCTGTTTCGCGTCGTTCCACTAATCCTGGCGGTCTTGATAAGGCTCACGCTTACAAGACAAAGATGTGCAAGTAAGTCACAGGATTTCTACATAATCACACAAAGTTGATGAATTCTCTTCAGAGACATCTCAGCACGGCGTCTTTGTCCGCGTGGAGCTCGATGCACTTATGCACACAGTGTCGAGGAGTTGCGAGAAGTAAGAAGAGATTCCGCACAAGGCGGGATTCCTAACCAGGTAAACTGCGTTTTATATTTTGTCCCTGTGTTTGACTTCTCTCAGTTTTGATGATGACAGGTTTGGAAGTTTTACTTGGTAGTTTTTAAATGGTTTAGAGGTTGATTCCATTACTTGAGGCATTAGGGCTGGGTGGATTTTTTGCATGTTTGATTTAATGCATTATTTGCTGTCATTTAGCCTCCGACCACTGCACCATTCATACCAATGGCTCAGCGAGTTATGGTAGCTGTTCCTCCGCCAACATTTCCTCCTAATGGAAGTAAGTGCCGTTTTTCGCTTCTATTCCGCTGTAAGATTTTGGAGTACAAGGCTACCATAATGAGCACCCGCTCCCGCCTGTGCCACCTCCTCCAGCAGCCCCTGCACATCCGGCCATGGTCCCCATAGTCCAGTTACCTGTAGTAATGCCCTCTCCAACTCATCATCCATTGCCATCTGCTCCCGTGACTGCTGGGAATCCTCAAATGGTCATGGTGAGTGACCCACAGTTTGATTTTACTGATAGTCTCTCAGTGTTCAAACTTATTTATCCCTTTTGTTCTATGTTGCTAATTTCTGTTACATAGCTCCCACCGGGAATGCCTCCAAGAGGTATGGTCATGAACAACCATCACCGCCCTCCCCAGCCTACAACTGGGTTACACCCAGCAGCACCACCGCCGCCGCCTTCTCTTTGGAGCACTCATCCTCCTCCACCACGAGGTGCAGTCCTCATGCCTCCTCTGAATTCACCGCCGAGTCACCCGCAGCCGCAGTTTTGGGTCCATCCGTGAGTTTGTAAGTCCTTTCGGATGCCCATCTCTCTATACATCCATTTTAGACCGCCAGCATTGTATGCGTTCGATCCGTCATCCGATAATGGTTATGTCTGGTCTAGTACCCAAAGGCCTGATTTGGGTTTGCCTCCTCCACCTTTGCCATCTACTCGTGCAAACGATCAAATGCTTGATACGGAGCAACTGATGATGAAAAGAAACGAAATCATAAAGTCAGTTGATACATTATGTATCATCTGTAGATCAAGAAGGAGTGCTATATCTTCAAAACCGCAGTATTAGTTTTGCGAGGTTTTGCTGTTGAGATTATCCAAATTTATGATGTCAAGATATTAGTGCTTTGGTACGTAAGGTACTCATACATCGAGAACATCCTATGTGTTATAGTCGCCTTGCCCCTCTTACGTTGTTGGACGAAGATGATTTCGAAGACGGTGGAGTTGGACATGTTTCATACACTGTAGCCTCATCTGTACTTGATGAGAGGTCAGTGTTTTGTTCGAGTGCCTCCAAAGATATTGGATTTTTCCTTTCTTTCGTAATTCCTTCATTTCAATCTTTTCATCGATAATCAAGTTGTGATGCAAGAGTCCGTTTACACTTTGTCTGAATTTTAGGGGAGAACTGCATCCTGTGGCACTTGTCGTGGGTCCACCTGCGCTTGAATTGCCGCCAATCCCACCTGCCAGTCTGTCCACTGTGCCTTTGCCGTCTAGTGGCGCTGAAGGAACGATGTAGGCTAATTCGCTTTAGAATTTGATGAGCCATTTTTCATCTGCTTTAGTACTGTCATTGGCGATATAACTATGGCTGCCAATCAGCGTACAAGAGCGCCGAGTCTTCCTCTCACACAAATGCCTAGCGTCGTCACAGCTTGTCCAACCAGTATTTTGTCGACTGAGGGTGCTCCGACGGCTACTGTACAAGCAGACTGCGCCACTATGCAAGTGAAAGACGCGATTAGCCAGCCTCTACCGACGCCAGCCATTCAGAGGAGTCAAGGTACACGCTCTTGAATCACTGCATGATTTTATATAGGTTAGAAAATCTCGTTGCAGTGGTAGCTCCTGTTCCCATGTGTGCTGTGCCGGTGACATTCGATGCCGGAGTAATGGGAGAAAGAATAGGAACAGTCATTAGGCCAGTCGCACTTGCTGATCCACAAGACATGGTGTCGAATAGCTTGGATAAGATAGTTGATGTCAAAGAAAGGCTCAATGAGGCTGAAGGTATGTGTGTTCAATATTTCTACTGAAAGCCTTATTGCCTCCTTTTATTCGTTTTTTTTTTGAAAAGAAAGGGAATTTGAATAGCTTGCGGAAGTCCATGAATATGGGTATTTCTAGGTGGAAAATCTTCAACAGCGGTCAGTCAGCAACTACTTGTTGAACTGCGTATCGCAGAAAGAGAGATGGAATTGCTTGATCCTCGCACCCAGGTGTGTCATCTTGCTTCAAAAATTCACCACCCTCAAACGATCTTTTTTTTGATTTAAGGCTTCATGTTTGTTGCGAGAATTGCGTCAAGTGGACAAGCAGATTGAACAAATCGAAGCAGCTCGACCTGTTGAAAATTGCTAAGTGCGGCTTGTGGCAGACTCCTTTCTTTCCAGTTTCTCAAATCTTCTTATCGTTTCATCTTTTCTACTCTCTATTCTTCATCTTTGATCCGAGGAACTGGTGTTTGTGCAATCCCATCTATCATTTACTAACAGAACTGCAAGATCATTCTTGTTGGATGCTTATTGTATATTGCACAGTGATTTGTATCGCTCTTGGCCTTGTAGATTGTGAGAAACATGTTTTTTCGGCTATTTATTTAGTGGTGGTTTAGCTGTGATTATTTGAATTAGGAACGCATTCATGTTTAAGCTGACGCTCTCAAGTCCTTTTCATAGTTCTTCTACTTGTTTCTGCTGCACTTATGCGATCTTGATTATTGTCGATTTCTATTAAAAGCTTATGATATGCATAAAATGGTGACTTGGCGATGTTGCAGTTTGAGGGAGTAGGTTGAGGTACCAGATGTTTTTTTGTTCAGATAAGCTTTGCTTGTACTGGTAATAACAATATTGACATTTGCGCATGCGTTAGTGGGAAAAAGCGTACATGACGCTATGTTGGCTGCTCTAACATACAGTCGAGCTGGTTTCTTTGCTGATGTGTGCAACTGCACACTTCTCGCGTAGTGGTAAAAAGAGCCATGTAACCGAGAGGGAGCTGCCTACGCATGACATACGCACTGTCTTAGTGACGGTCGCGTCGGATTTTGTACGAGTCTGCGCTTTCGCTCTTGAACTTTCTTCTGCGCCCATCATACGTGATCGCTGGCCTATGGGGACTAGAAAATGCGTCGCGTACGCCTGCAGAATCTAAGTGAGCTGGTAGTGAATATGTTATTATACCTTCTGTCACAATGATAGTGTCACCAGCTCATGCGCTTGGATCGCGGATAAGCTGGTGACACTATCGTTGGACAGAAGGTATAACTCGCGGTTCCTCTAGTGCAACTGCGGGCAAGCAACAAAGAAGAGCAAGACGAAACATAAAAGCGTCAGTGGGACCCATGGTCGGACTATCGTAGTGGATGTGTAATTACACATATTAGCAAAAAAACCTCATTGACTGCATTCGGCCTAAGCATCTCTGCAAATTTCTCTGCTCCTCATCTGGCGGTTGTGTCTTCTCATTCATTCAGTGGAACAGAAAGTGTTTCGATTTGATAGAAGCGAGTTTGTCAGTGTTTCGCTCCTTCTTCACTACTGTATCTATCTCACTGTGCAAAATTACAGGACTTCGAAATGACTGAGTTATCGAATAATTGTAACGCTATACAAACTGCTTCGCAAATCCCACAGTGAGCATATCAAGCAAATTTGTGTCCAAATCAAAGGGAACATCCAATTTAGTTCGACGTCAGAGTTCGGCGAGCAACATGTCTCCTCAGCAGTTCCTTCCCGGCATGCATGTGATGCGAAAGCCAGCTCGTATGCAAAAGGTATGGCATAAGTGCATTTATTGACCAAGGCACTCATCTAAGCCATTCAGCTGTGTCACTTTCTCCAAATGAAAGCGAAGTCACGTCATCGACGTCTCCATCCCCACGATCTGAGTATTATCGCTTGATGTACGCTTGCTTACAGGTGGTTATTCAGGTTGCCCAGTTTCGTGTATAGTCGATTCATCGATTGCAAAGACTGCGTACGTGTCGGCATCTCTCTGATCAAGCGCTTTTTTGTTTCTCTTACCATATGCTGTCTCTCCCATACACGAGCCATATTTGTCGGACACAACGGCGCTCAATCTTTGCGTGATGAATTGCCGATACATGTTTTTCATTCTGTATTTTTTAATATCGATATTTGCTTGTCCTTAGAGTGTATTCATGGCAACAGCACTCAAACAGCAATCACAACGTAGTTCAACGCTTGCTGTGCAAATTTTTGACTGTCCATTGCTATTCCAGTCAAGGCAGCTTTTGCAAACGTGTTAAAATTTAGTGAAATTTTTTTTTATTTGGAGTAGGCAAGTAATCAATCCCGCCATAAAGGCTGAAACGAGCAAGGCATGTATTGTATGTATATGCTCTCCACCAATTTCTCTGATAGTAATTCTTTCTGATAGAATTGTGAAAAAGTTGAATCCAAATCTGATCTAATAAATGTTGCAACAGCGTTAGGGATCGTTCAGACTGCGCACAAAGGCGGACGAAGGCGCAGGAAGGCGCACAAAGGCGGACGAAGCCGCACAAAGGCGGACGAAGGTGCACGAAGGCGCATGAAGGCGCGTGTGAGTGTTTGTGTGCGTGTCGAGAGAAATGAGACGAGACGAGACGCGCCTTCGTGCGCCTTTGTGCGGCTTCGTCCGCCTTCGTCCGCCTTTGTGCGCAGTCTGAACGATCCCTTAGAATGATCAAATTTGACTGTTGCATCTGTAGACATCACGAAAGTCTAGACGATGGCTTCAGCACTTTGTAATTTTTTTTGATATAATGAGTTGTTGCACTTTGGTTAGAAGTCTTTTTAGGAGAAATTCGACTATGTACAAGCGAGCACGGATCGTTTGCGAGATCGTCTTTACCATGTTAAGAAAGTAAGCGCATTGCGTCTTGTAGAGAATGTCATTAAAATGTTCATTAGCAGGAGGTGACCTATCTGAAAAGGATGAAGCGTGTTCTTATCCGTCGTCTTGCTCGTTACGGCGAATCCTACTCGTATGCTCCGCTTGAGATCCCAGACAATGTAGACATTGAGGATCCGAGCGTCCGAAAGCGAAAAGAACGTCGTGAGAGAGAACGAGAAAGAAAGGAGGCGCAAAGAGCAGCACGGAGAGCTCAACAGGCAAGCACTGAAGAAAAACCGCCCCCTATAGACTCATCGGTTGTAAGCCAACCGAACATGCTAATTGAAAGGAATGTACAGATGGATGTTAGTCAGATGCCTTCAACGTCCCAGGCTTCTTGACTTTGTACATAAGTTGTTATTGTTTTTTACCTGATCTTTTGACTTGCTTTATTCTTTAGTTCCGGTAGATCATTCAAGAGTTCTCACAATATTTTTGATGGCGTTGTTATCGGATTTCGATGTTTTCTTGTTTCTGACTGTAATGCCTAAGTCAGCTCGATCAATGTAATACTCGCTCATTTGTTCTCATCAGTGGCCTTCTGCAGTGTCTTCCAAGCAGCCTTATGTTCCATATCTTGCTCACTTGAATAAAGTTTTTTTGAATTTTTTTTTGAGCAACTGAAGGATTTTGCCCATCTTTTTCTCTCGTTTCTCTATGAGATCATCTTCATGATTTCGTTTTTAGAAGTACCTACATATCCTGTTAATCATGCTGTAGATGATGACGGCAGTATCGCCTTGTGATTTGACCTCTCATGGTTACATAGTGAAGCAGTGGGTTGGTAAGTATCATTTTATCAACGAAATTATTTTTGTCGTTTTTTCGTTTCTCTTTCTTTTTTGTGGCTCATAGGCAGGCCAATTGCTATTTACACGCTTTTCGCTTCCCTTGAATTTGTAAAGCTGAGCTTTTCCACAGTATTTTGGGTTTCGCTTCAATATCTGCTTGAGGACATTCGCCTTACTATGCGAATTATACAAATCCCTTTAGGATGCAGATTCCCTCTTTTCTCAATGAAAAAATTCTCGCAAGTGTCTTTTCAGCACATTGTTTTGATGGATACGGGGACGTATTTCTTGGTAGATGCAATGATACCACACGGGTCGCTATAAAAAGGATACCATTGGATGCACTCGATATCAGAGCTGATATACGAGCAGAAGATCCGGAGGCGCACACAAGCACGCTTGTCCACGCAAAGTCGCCTGATAGAGGACAACTTTTATTGGTAAAGACTTTTTTATTGTAGCTTGAAAAGGGACAAATTCTGAATTGTTAGGGGGATTTGCATATGATGAAATTGCTTCGACATCCCCATATTGTCGATTTTCACGCGGCCTTCGTTGATGGGTTGTCACTGTATTTAGTCCTCGGAGGTTGCTCATACGGTCCGCTTTTCTTTCCTATGTGACTTCAGTCAGTTAGTAAGTCAGTCTGAGGTTTCCGATTATAAATAAGATGCTGCAGGTTCTGTCGCTGATGTAATGATGTCTTCTTACCAATGTGGTATTCCCGAAAAGGCAATAGCTGTGATACTTCGTCAGTTACTCGAGGCCCTTTCATATTTGCATGCTCAACGGATTATCCATAGGTAAATTCATTGAGTTTTTTTACAAATTTTTTGTAATTGTGAATTTTGCTAAAAAATTAATTGGGTTATTTGCTTATGGCAGATACTAGCCACGTTAATGGTTGAATTTTCGTTCATTGTTATTTGGTTAATCCCTCGTACCCACTGCTTCGCTGAGGGACCCGTCATACTTTGCCGAGAAAAGCCCAAAAGCGCCCGAAAAAGCTCAAAAAGCTCAAAAAAGCCGGAAAAGGGCGGAACGCAGAAACGGACTTTTCGTCGAATTCTGACTTTATTTTAGTGACAGAAAATGAAGCAAAAAGACGCGGTTGCGAGAACACAACACACATGCCTTAGCAGAAGGGAAGGGCTGTTTCGGCTCTTTCGGGCTTCTTTGGCTTTTTGGGGTTTTTTTTTCGGCAAAGTGTGACGGGTCCCTGAGAGAGCATAAAGATAGCTGAAGGCGTTGAACCTTCTGGATCGCCTTGAGGCGAAGTAGCGAAGGACTAGCATGCATATATCCACTCTTTCATATAAAAGCATAGTGTCGGAATTTTCAGATCAATTCGTGCTAGCCACATTCTCATAGGTGCTGATGGTAGTGTGCGTCTCACGGGTTTTCGTTTGGCTCGAAAATTACGGTACAACGAATTGTCTACAACAGATTTTGACAACCATCTTGAGTCGTCATTGCTTTGGTTGGCTCCTGAAGTGCTTGGACAGGTGAGTCATAGAATCGTAATGGCACTTTTATCGTTCAAGTTGTGTTCTCAGGACCTTTGTGGATACTCGAGCAAAGCTGACATATATAGCGTTGGAGCCACTTTGTGTGAAATGGCCAATGGTTTCCCACCTTTTGGTGATATGAACAGACTAGAAATGCTTTACGAGAAGTCACGGGGTACTACGCCACGTCTGTTGGATGCTACTACGTTGCCATCCTTTGAAGGTAATTTCTGTTCTTAAGACAGTGTCTTTGTTTTGTACTTTTCGTATATTCATCTTCAGAGCCATCCGAACATAGCAAGCGTACCTTCAGTGATGCTTTTCATAGCATTACCGGCTTATGTTTGAAAGCAAGTCCTTCGAATAGGTGGGCGACTACGCATCTTTTCTGCTGATATCTTTTATACTTTTGTTTTCCAGACCTGATGCTAATGGCCTGCTTTCTCATCCTTTTTTGAAGAAAACGAAGAAGTCACTACTTGACCTCATGCCTCTTGCTCAAAAACTCGAACACGTTCAAAGAGGTATGCAACTGCTCTTCCAATTTCTCAGATTGTTATAGCAATGTTTTTAGTGTCTGATAAAGCAGTCGTTCCTGAAGAGATACAGGATGTTCCTGAATGGGTGTTTTGAATTTGTTTTATATGAATTTGGCCATATCTTTATTATCAAATATATGTATTTTTGTTGTATAGTTATGAACTCTACATTTTCCATGTTTCTCGCGTTTTATCAACGGTGTGGTTTCCAGCATTTCCATTTAGTCGATAGTGATTTTCGGATTTGTGGTCTGATCGGTGCCCCGAAAAAAGAGTGAAGAATTCAGTTTTTGAAAGTAGCCTACATGGATCACAAAATTGTGTAAACGACTTGTTCTTACTCGTTAAAAGTTGAAGTAACCTTCGAATTCTCGAAAAAAAATCAAATTAGCCATGATTTTTTGAGGCATGGGTACACCAGTGGCGGTCTGCCCTCCCCACTCGCCGAGAATGGGTCGCGAAATTTTTGAACTAAAGTGAGTTACAGTCGCTTCATTTCATATGATCATGTGTGCACACACAGTCCACTTTGGCGTCCTCATCCTGGATTTGCACTCGCAAAAATGCAAGAGACTTACCGATTGTTATCGATCACATCAATAACTGACTAATAACTAAAAGGGAAAAAAAATGCTAAGAACATCTTGGAAACACTTACCTGAAGGCTTGTTTCTCCCACGAATCCAGGATGGAGACGCCAGAGGTGAACTGTGTGTGCAACGACACATATGATCATATGAAATGAAGTGACTGTATAAGAGTGTGCAAATGACTTGTTTATACTTGAGAATAATTGAAGTAATTTTCAAAATTTTTTGAAAATTCAAATAAGCCAAGTAAAAAAGTTTTTCGGGGGCCATGGGCCCGAAATTTGAAGGAGTACCACAAAATTTTTTTCGCTTTTCGGACCTTCATTTGAAAAAAAAAATTTTCCGACCCCCCCTCCCCTCCCCCGGACGGAAATCCTGGGACCGCCATTGCTTTACACTAATGTCACGACTTCGCAAAAAAAAGCAACATTCAAAACATAGCTGATGCCCTCCCCTTTACTCGATAAGAATCTGTCGGGTTCTTCCTTTCTCTTCTCTTATGTTAGGCGCAAAAAAGTAAAGTTACGTTTTTTTCGAAAAGAAAAAGATGTAAAATTTTGAGGCTCTGTAGTTGCTCATGTATGGATTATTGTTCCAGCATTTCCAAATCGATACCAAACAGCTTTTTTAGTAGCTTGCTCTACTAAAACTGTGGTGTAGACAAATATAGTAGAGTTATTTATGAGATCAGCGACATCAAGAAATTCGAAAACAAGAAATATAAACGTAGAATAAATCACAGTGTGCAGGAGCGTTCCGCTCGTTGAGAATGATTTGTTATATGGGAAGTTATGAAACGAGACAAAACTGAAAAGTCTAGTTGACCGGAGATACGTTATGTATCTAGTGATACCAGACATAGAAACATGATGCAAGACGTGACCTTACTATGCAAAATTCGTAACGGAATGAGTGAGCTATGCAAAACATTGCCGAATCAACTACCTAACAATATCTCAGTGTCAGAAATAAAAGAGTACACTAACAACGTATAAAACAACGAATGACCTGTGAACAGCACGATAATCCAAATTGACGTGTTGCAAATATTATAATTTCGCACATTAGCGCAATTTTACAAAATAATATTAAGTAGTGCAAAACCATAACGCATGTTGCAAAAATGAATGAAGTATAATAGATTTCTGATAGATTTTAGGGGGGTCGAGAGGACAAGATGAAAGTAAATCACGTATTCACAGCCCGCAACCATAGATCATTGAGTATCAATCACTTTGACAACTACAACGGTCATAGCGAAAATAGTAACGGAAGAAAGATGGAACAGTGTGAAACGGGGATTTCGTAGAAAAATAGCAGAAAACTGCCAGTCGTGCACCTATGAATCAAAATCTGAACACCTCGCATGACTTACTAGCGCTTGATTTTGAAATATTTTATGATAATCACAGTGTAGATGACCATAGTGTAGATGAGTTTGCACTGATATCGGTACTACCACGTACTAGTATAAAGTGTGCACGCACCGGATGTCGCGCTGTATGGAAAGTTGTCCACCAACTTTGAGAAGGGACCAAAGCTCGACTCTTAGCATGAAGAACTTGCTTCAACTCTCGTCATCGGACAATGGTTCGAACGTCATCGCCGTGGCAATCGCCGGGTCGTTTCCGGCTGTGCGAAGAAGCTCAGCCAGTGGCGGTGCCAGTGACGGTGGCGGTGGTGCCGGGGGAGCCGTCGACGACGGTGTCACAGCTAGGGGGAAATCGAAGTCCAATGCGGAGAACATTCTTGAGCCGCTATTTGCTAGAAAGGAGAGAACATGGTCTCAAAAAAATTCAAAATACAAAAAATTATAGAACTACTGATTTATCTCCATAGAAAAAAACTGGTCTCTACTCAGCAAAGCTAAAAAAATGGAAATTCAGGACTCACATGTTGGTGCAGAAGCGGGAGCTTCAGCGCGTGCAACCGGACTAGTTGGAGCACTGCCATCTGGGGAAATCGGCTCATAGGTGGGTGGTCCAGAAACAGTGGCAGATGTGGCAAGAAACTGTAGCGCCGGTGGTGGTGGTACAGCTGTGGACGTCTGCACATTTGTTTCCTGAAACCACGAAAAGTCAGCGCATTCTTTTTACCCTATTTTTAACTCTATTTTTCATACCTGGAACGAAGCAACCGGGGTCAATACACTGGTGGTGTTTGGCAATGCAGGTGAAGCCATTGGTTGCACAACTGCAGATGGAATCTCGGGCTTTGTCACACCAACCGCTGGGGACGCCATCGGCTGAGGAGTTTTACTCGGTTGACTAGCCGGTGAACAAGCATTCAACGATTGTTGGAAATGTGCAAAAACATTTGAAGCAGCCGTCGATGGCGCAGATACGGATGGGGACATCTAAAAATGTCGAGATTGTCAGGGGATAGATCTATGCCGACTTCTTCAGAGGTATACATACATGCTGCGTTGCCGTTTGAGGTGAACCAGCAGCTCCATGGGAAGTGTTCACTGCCAATGCACTATACGCTGATGTTCCTCCCAGAATTGATCGAGCAGCAGGATTCTAGCAAATAATTAAGCAAAGTGAGATAATGTGTACCATTCAGACATCAAAAAATTCTACTTTTCTCCTGTGTTCTAGCAGCGAAAACTATTACTCACAATAGGAGGTCGCTGTATTCCGACACTTCCACCAACGGGACTTCCTGGCCTTCTTTGTGGATGTCGTTGTACAGAGACAGGCGGTATATTTAACATTTCCAAACCTTGAAAAGCAGAATCATACAGAATCAGACGATAATGGGAACTACTGCCATGTGTGAGAAAAGAAAAGTCGAAGCGCGTACCCGATTTCCGCCGAATTTCCGGTGGTGCAATGGAAGAGTGAGCTGCCGCTGCAGCGTGTGCTGCTTGCGCAGCAGCATGACTATTGGCCAGCTCGTCGTGTACCACCTAAAAGAATAGAACACAAACGTAGCGACTTCTGTTGTATCTCATAATTTCTTCACGCTATAAAGAAAGAACCAACTTAACTGGTCAAAAAACGAGAGAATGACTAGATATCAAACTGAAGATTAGAGCGCAAAAGGGATAGAAGTGAAGAGATGGAACAAGAATGCAAAACAAAAAGTTAGAGCAGACCATGAATCTGAAATTCCGTGACCAAAATTACCTTTTTACCGAATTAGTTATGCTAACAAGCTAGAAAAACTTAAATTCACTATTGAAGTCAGTTATTAAAGAAGCAAAATTAATTTAAAAAATTGATACAAACGAGAGATGATTTGTCAATTAATCATCAGGACACCTAGCGTGTTTTTCCTATAATATTTTATAGCAAGAAACTTGACAATTTAGGATAAAAAAGTTGATTTTATTTATCTGCACAATTAGGAAGCATTGTACTAAAGAGGTTCAAAAGCTCGCACTTCCTCAAAAAATACTAGATATTTTTGAAAATCTGCATAAAAAAGTGTCGAGGCGTGCTTTCTAAAATTGATTCAACACTTCATTAGTCACTCACCCTATCCAAAACATTATTGAAGCGCTTATTTTCTCCCCATTGTGGACCGTCCCTCTCTTTACTTGCTGATGCACTGGGCCAAGGCGAATGAGCGGCAGATGACTAAAAATGATGAGAAAGAAGTTAAGGCGACTGAATCGCAAATTAAGAAATCAATGTTTCAACCAACACCAACCGGTTTTGTGTCGGCTGTCGGTTGTCGTATGCCGATCAGATTCTTATGTTGCTGAAGCTGTTGTAGCTGATGTAGTTGTTGCGCTTGTGCTTGAGCCTGTGCAGCCAACGATAACGTTGTTGGAGGCTGGAAGGTCTTTTTTCAGCTTGCTAATACATGGATATAAAAACTGGTAAAGATTTTTACTTGAACAGCAGCCTTGGCGGCTTGCTGTGCATGTGCAAAGTCCTTGACGGATCCCTTACTAATACTTCCCGAACCACCAACGATTACACCGCTCGCGTTTCCACTATTCAATAGCATTCGCTGCTGTCGCATCAGAAGTTCTCGACTGAAAGTTCAAGTTGAAAAATCAAAAAACTAAGATAGAAACGAAAACCAAAACTCACTTCTCACGAAGGTTGTCCAATTTCTTTTGGAATGTTAAGCGAGAATGTTCAACAACCCTCATGTTGTCTTGCGCCTGCAAGCAAAAAGTGTTGTAAACTTAGTTTTCGAGATTGGGAACTCTTTCTGAAGAAAGCCAACTCAAGAAGTGAAGTTCACTTTCTTATGTTCAGGCTTCCTAAGGTAGGTGCCAGAGTAAGCGAATATTTTGTTCGGGTTGGTGTCCCACGCAGAATTGACGTCTTTCACCATGCTGGCTTCAATCCAAGTGACGTCAATTCTGCGACCCCAACCTGAACAAAATATTCGCTTACTCTGGCAACTACCTAAGAGCACAAACAGAAGAAAATACAATTTCTATCGTAACAAAATTCCTTCTGAGAAAATCTAGTAATTTAGGAGTAATCATCTGAATACGCTCACAATAAAGAACTATTCGAATTTGTCTAGACGGGACTTGATGAACGTTTTTGAATTATGTGAAACAAATCAAGCAGTTCAATCTGCAGAGGCTCAGCAAAACTTCATTTGCACGGCTTTCCCATTGTTTTCAATGAGATGGAAAAAAGTCTGCGCACGTCATCGACTTACCTCCTTGAGTTCTTGTTTCGCTTGGTAATCCTGCACCGTCGAATTTATTCGAAACGCTGACGTTATCATCTGCTCCGCTTGCTGAGATAGAAGAGATATAAAAAACTATCACATAAAGCAGAATACATCAACAGTTAATCGTTAGTGTATGAAAAGGATTCTGGTAAGAGATCCAATGAGTAGAATAATCTTTGAAAAGGCACTAACCATCTTTTTCTTTTGGTATGTTCGCTCCTCCTCTTCTAGTCGTCGCACTTGTTTTTCCATACCACGGATATCCTCATCAATCTAGAAAGAGCGCAGGTAAGAAAGCAAGCAGCATGTGATTTGTAATCATCTAGAGGTTATGACGCTAAATTTATGGGTCCCACCTCTCGTAAACTTTTTTCAAACTATGGGAGCAATCAGAAAAAAAAAACGGAGCAGACGTAAGATATTATAGCAACATGGTTATATCAACAAGAGAATTTGTACAGGGAACATGATAAATAACGATGAAACCAAAATCGCCAAACATTCGAAATGAGGAAAAACCACATATCAAACGTGGTAAAAGGCATTTTGAAAAATGAGATCAGTACAAGCGAAATCTTGTGCTTTTCGATAAGGAAGATATACGAAAAGATAAGAATGAGGTATCGAGCCCTAACCTTTTCAATCTCTTCCCTAAGACGCTGTTCATCATCCATTTGCATAGATGCGTCATGCGTCCTAAGAACCATTGGCGATGCCGAGAGCGACATGGAAGCAACAGCAGCTGCTGATCCACTGCCAGCATTCAATGCATCAAGTTGATTCTGCAGTTGTGACCTTTGCAGGCGATGGTTTTGTGCCATAGTTTGTAGCTAAAAAAGTCTTCTATATCAGGAAAACTGTGATTTACTGCGGGAGATAAGGGGGAAAAACTTACGCTCGAGCATTTAGCCGACTGGCTACTATACTCTAACAAAAGCTGCTGTCGTTGTTGTTGAGTAAGAGACGCTGTTTGTAATGAATGGTTGATTTCACCGACTCTATGCTGAAGTACAAATGTGTGAAACTCGGACATCTTCTTCAAGTAAAAATAAACATCAGCAACGTACCGCCATCGCTATTGTATTCTTATCGATATTAGCAGCAGTAATGTCATGATGTTTGATTTGCTCCTGCAATTGCTTCTTTGCGGCATCGATCTGTCGCTGCTTCTCCTGTTGGAGTCTGAAAGAGCAATCAGATAAAATAAGGGATATAAGAGCAAAGAACAGCCTGAATGGACCGAACAAACCTCTCCTGACGTTGCTGTTCCAGCTGTTTCGCTTGTATTTGGCTCTATAATTGGAAAATGTTGCTCTTATCGCCAAGAAATTTTGATGAATGAAAGTAGCAATCCGTAGTTTTGGTAGAATCTCACACTTTTGGTTAGAAGTAGAAAATACGTAAATATCGCATGAGCACCATGTGCTCAAACACACGTAAAAACTGCATGCTGCTTCAAAGGCTTATTGAGTGCACATTTGCCATATACTTATGAAGCGGTGGAGTGCAGTGCAGGAGCTTCCCACATCTTTCACCTTTCCAGACTGCCTAACTGCTGCAAATCTCTGAATGGGCGGGGCTGCCGCAAGTGGGCGGGCCTGGTATATGACCTAGGGATCGCTACATCGGGCGGTATGAATTAGTAAATTATCAGGTCAGATAGGGATTGAAGGCTCATTCCAAGTTGATAATTTGGCTTACACTATATCTCATTAAAAAACTGGCTTACTGCTTGTTGTGTAATTTGTTGTCCAACTATGCTGGGTACATCAGGGACAACAACAAAAAATATTACAGCATCATTGTTGTGACCACACTTTACAAAAGTTGATTATAAATGGTACGTTACCGCATTGCTACTATTATTACTAATCTATTAGTAATGATTGTATTGGGTTGACATAGTGGGTGGTCCTAGCATAAAATCGTGCTGATCTTGTACATCAGAGTTACGCGATGATAACTTGGTCGTTACGCGATGGTAAACTTGGTCTAAGTCAGTTACAGGGCCCATCCTCAAAAACTGCTGTTCTTATTCTTGATTATTTGAGAAATAATGTTTTTATTCCAGTAATTATGTTTTAGATTCATAATATCCCAGCTGGGATTAAAATTTCCTCTCGTTGTCAAGCCAAACTACTTACCAGCATAGCAGCATGTTGTTGCCTCATCTGAAGGTTTGCCGTCTGTTTCCTGTGTTGAAGAATCAGTTCGATTACACAACGAGTGGCGACATCCACGCTCGGATGGATGCGATTGAGATCTAGAGAAAGTACAAATCATTTTTTACTTAAATGACGTGCACTTTCATGAGAGCAATGCATCAAGAATGTAACTTGAGACTAAGCCAGGATGGTGCATACCCGCTTCAGAGAACTGTGAATACGTCATGTACAGCTGCTCCACGGATGGTTGTTGAACAAACGGATGAAACTGAACATAAAGATTTTAGCTTTGAAAATTGGCAAAATAATGCGAGTTTGATTTGAACGCTATTGGTATCGACTAATATGCACTCATAATGTTTAATCCATGGCTGCAGAGCAAGAAGGCGAATGGGGATTAGAGGTGTGGGGGGGGGAGGGGCTGCCACGCGAAATTGGCGCGAGTCACGGTTTTCCAACATAATTATTCACCCACCTCTCTTCCCATCTCGTCCCCCCCCCCCTCCCCACCCTTATCTTAAGGCCTCAAAGAACCATTTCCTTGGCTCGTTTCTGCTACTACACCTGACAAGTGGCAGACCCCGCGCCGAGAATGGGTAACTAAACTTTTCAAAGGTCGTCTGCAAGAGTTATCAAGTCGTGCAAGCAACCTGCTACTATTATATAACTAACAAATTTTTTTTAACTTGTATAGACCGAATCAGCTTTGTTGCTAATTCACAACGCGGCTCACCACGCCTTTCTGAGAGACCTACAGTCTATCCCAATCCTAATCAGGCCAAAATTGGCATGCCCGGAGTCCGCGCCGCTAACACTCTGCGTCACGCCTACGGTCTGTCTTGTCTGCTCTCTCTCTCTCTCCCTCTCTTCAATCTCTTCGCCCTCTTCGACAGTGCGCATATGCAGCGCAAACCTCTAGCGCTGCGAGCGCGCAACGATCGCCTTGCTTCAGCAGAATACGGCGTAGTCACTGTTATTTGGTGCCACGTTGGAGAAAAATCAAGTCGATGTCCGCGATCTCGCGACAAACTTTCTGGTGGTAAACCTTTTTATTCTCTCATACTACGAGGTTTTTTTTATCATCTCACCAGAACTATAGCTGTTGCTATCAACGCAGACGCCAGTAGACCTTCCGTCCAACGTGACGCCAAATGACATCAGCTTACTAGTTGCTCAGCGTACTGCTGAAGCAAACAATCGCTTAGTCTGGCGCCTACCTTACACGAACATTCGGCCTGATCCCTATCGGGACAGACTGTAGCTCCCACCACGCTCTTTTTGAATCTCAGAGGTCCAAGCTTGAAAAATATTTCGACCAGATTCCCAGATATATCACCGAAGGTTCGGCTGACACCACGCTCCACTGAAATATCATCTCCGCCCCGCCGCTCTCCAAAGTGTTTTTGGGGGTCGCTTCCTGGATCATATAAGCTTGATTATGAAGTTATTCCCACCGAGAAGTTCAAAAGAACGCAAGCGTAAAGCTGAGATGAACAAAACTGAGTTTTTCTTAGACCCTTCCCAATTCTACACGATTCCCAGACCCTTCCCCCCTTCGCCTCCACCCCTTTTCTCCCCAAGCTAGTCATTTTCGCGCTTCTCACACTCAAAACGTACCTGAAAGTTGCGCTGCTGCTGTTGATACTGCTCCAACAATGCCCTTGCTCGATTCTAAAATTAGAGAAACGATTCTTTCGAGCACAAAACACTCAGTGAACCATTGAAAAGAGTGAAACTTCTCTATACCTCATCTGCTCCAGCAAATAGCTGATGAATTTGTAAGAGAGTGTTTTGATCGAAACCGGCGAGCATCGCTTGTGTGGTCTGCAATGCGAGAATTTTGATTATAGGCGAAACTGATGCACTTAGAGTACACGTCAGCTACAATTCGATTGGCAGCGTCGACAATGCTCACAATAACATCGACGACGCTCTATCATCGCTTGAAAAACCCCCGTTTTCGAACAGGGACATCCATGATATCGCAGGAATTTCAGTTTATAAAAAGTCTTGGCACTAGACTGATCTTCCCCGACCAACAAATTTGAAATTTACAAATAAATTAATGAATTGAATGTGAATTTAACAATCTATTGAAGGTGAAGAGTGCAATACAGGGACTTTCAATATGTGACTTCATTTATTTATTTAACTATCAATTTGCAATTTTTTCTTTCATTTGATTTCCGGTGAAGGTAGTATTCCAATCCCTTTTCGCGCTAGTAGAAGGAGTGAAACGAGCATAGGATTTATAGCTTAATTTTTCTTTTCGTTCTCATTTGTTTTGATATACTAAAGAAGAGATAATCCTCTTTTCTACTCTACGACAAATTTTTGTCATAGCGAACAAAGCCATTCCAAAATTTTTCCATATTTATTCTTGTTTTTTATGCATTCAAAAACTTTGGTTACTCGAAAACTTCATTGGTTACCTGAATTATGCCATAATTCCCCTATGAAGCAAATCAATATCTACCCTGATTCTCAAACAGGTCTTGCGCTAGAGCAAATGCTTTGGATGTTATGGCTAAAAGCTACGAAATAATTAAAAGTGCTAGGCCCATGAATATTCTTAGCCCCTTTGACTGCACATGAGTGATGCAAATATTCCTCCTATCTTATCAATCTTAGAGTATGCAAGATATTTGATCAAAAAAATTTCGATGCTTTGCAGAAAGTGCTATGCAAAAATATAGTGCACTTTGTTAAAGAAATAAACAGAGATCACATGTAGACAATTTTAGAAAATTAATTGAAGTTTCCGCAAAAAAAAAGTGATATTATTTATATGAACCCTGTGACGCTGCAGCTTTAGCTAGTGAGAACAATGCTTCGATAGCTTTTCCAATATCAATTAGTCTCAAAGAGGATATCTTAAATCACGAAATTACTACAAGCACATCTGATAAGGATGTGACGTCGGAAGATGAGGAGAGTAGAGAAAGAGAGAAGGAATATGAAGAAGGAAACAAAACGGTTTTGAGAAGCGACAGAGAGAACTATAAAAGAATACATAGGGTTACCACAACCTTTTCCCATGAAATATTCCACTCACCTGATCTAAACAAGTTAACCGATCCTGAACAAATCTAGAAACTTCGTCGCGAATAACTTCATTTGCTGACTTTTCGAACGAAGCCAACAATCTTTTGCGTTCTTGTTCTCTTCGAGCATGCTGTTTCCAGTATACTTCATTGTATGACATTGTCAGAGCAGATGGAAGGAAGTCCAGAGATTTACGAAGATAGACGGTTGATTTCGGAACTCAGGTCGTCAGACTTACTATAAGAAGGTGTTCCTAATGGTCGCAACAAATAGACATCTCGAATAATTACAACTGACATGTATCCAACCGTGTCGGGAGTAACCATGGTAGACAACGTGGCAAATTTGTGTCCATGGCAAATGACTATATCAATTTCGAACTTGAAATATGATCTATGTGACATGGTGACCAAATCTGACAAGGTCTCTTGCTATAGCTACTATGACCTGGGGAATACCGAGGAGGAGATATGGTATAGGGAAAGATTCTAGCTACTATTTACATGCAAAAAGTAGGGAGAGGCTGATCATCAAAACTCTAGAATTCATCCTTATTCGCACAAGGCACACTACACTCAATGTAAAAATTGCAGAACAAAAAATCTCCTCGGAAATTAAAATAAGAAAACTGTCTTGCCAAGCGGCAACTTGCAACATCACCCCCTACTCAAAGCAACCCACGCCATTTTCGGAGATAAAAGCCCTATCACGCAGATTTCAAACACCAATTTGAAATAAGCGTTCCAAAGTATTTCCATACAAAACTCGTATGAAAAGGCAGTGGCCATCAAATTCCTTTGTTACGTAAAGGGGTGTTTGAAAAGAATGAAATCAAAAGTCTCCGTCCTGACATCCCATTCTGTTTGAGCGTTCAGTCAATGAGAGAGTTTTTCTTTTTGAAAAGCAAACAGAAGACGAAGAAACGAAAATCAAACAGCTATGAAGGACACACATTAGGTTCGTGAGCGAAAGTATGACGTTCACGCAGAGAACATATCTAGGAAAACTCTTCCAAGCAATGAATATGAGAATATTACGGAAGAAAAGGTCAAGACAAGGGAGATTGGGGATAAGAGCAAGAGTTTGAGAAGGATTGCAAAGGGGAAAAACTGGAAATGCAAAGTTGGTTTTTATGTGTGAGATCAAAATGATACTTTGAGAAACTGCCCAAAAATTCTTGAATAACGTGGTACTTGAGAAAGATTAGTCTTACACTCACCGCTGGTTGTGGTGTATTCGAAGTTGAAGCAGCGACTGCAGCGGCTGCGGCTGCCGCAAGTTGGGCTCCACTTTGCTGCTGCTCAATGATGGAAACAGATGGTGGACGGAAAGGAGTTCCAGCTGTTATGGAACCTTTCACTAAACCAGAAGCGGTCGACGGCTGCTCCACGGCAATCAGCGTCTCCTCTTTTGGCTTGACCTAGAATTAATCGTTGAAACAAACAGAGGAATGGGTATGAGCACAAATACTCACATCTGCCGGTGGAGGCTGACTGACGGTGGTGGCAGAGGAAGTCGTAGGCACCTCTGTTACATCCATGTCAACTTCACTCGGTTGAGTTGTGACTGTCGTTTCGGGCACGTCTTGAGTGTCCTCTTCCATCGGCACATCATCCTCATGTCGCTCTTTCTCATCTTCTTCATAGTCTTCTTCCTCCTCCTCTTCCTTCTTGTTCAACGACTCGAATTGGATGCGGCAGTCCTCGGCGGTTCTTCCCTCCATCTGCTCCGAAATACTATTCCAGTCATGACCAAGCTGGGATACGAGCTCTTGTAGACGAGAGATCTGAAATTAAAACGGGATTCATGTCTATCTTGCTATTCAAAAATTTGAGAAAAGGGGGGATTGAATGCATGTCCCACCTCAGCGGATTGCCAAGTCTGTTGTAACTCCATCTCAAACTTAGCCATCTCTTCATCAAGTTCACCAGCGAACAACTGTAAACCAAAGAACAATAAGGCTACAATAAAGTAGCAAAAGCCACCAAGAGAGATGAAGTCTATAAAGAAAATCTTACCAGGTCGAGCTTCTTAGATATCCTTTTGAAGCATGGACCACAGCACTTTACAATCTCTCGTGGTATAGACATGTGGGCAAGTATGAAAGCACGTTGACGATCATCCATTTGACGCCATTTAGCCGGCATCGGTTTTGTCGCTTTCACTTTTCGCTTGCCCGAAGCGCAAACTTTCACCATACATCGGCTGAATGTCAAAGCAACATACTGTGTAAAGAAGTCAAAATAAATGAAGCTCACCCGCTATTCCTGATTTTCAACACTTCATCTTTGCACTTTGTACAGATTTTGCAATCAGGACCATGCTTCTTCGGATCGATGCCTAAACGGCAAATTCGGATTTTGGAGAAATACCTGCCCCAGCAATCATCAAGTACAATCTAAAACTAAGCAGCTCAAAAGAAGAAGACCAAACAGTAATCAGATGAAAGGATACACCATAACAATCAATCTAAAGGCCTTTCAGCGTAATTTTCAGACTCCCATAGATGAAAAAACGGAAGCATTACTGTACTAACTACCTAAGACGAGTGAAATTGTAGTCATATCATAAGACTTTATGATTACACCCCTTCTCCTTACGAAGGTTTCGGGCCTCGGGTGGCGTCCATGCGATTTAATGTCGCGATTCAATCGCTACAAGACAAGTGTTACGAGTTCATTGCATGCCGATCTTCTTGTATTTCGGTTGTGAGAGTTAGTCACGATTAGTCCTCTTGGAAAACTATCACAACCAAAATGCAAGAAGAACAGCGTGCAGTGATATTGTTACAGCTGTCTTATCGCGATCAATCGCGACGATCAAATCGCGCGAACTCTGCCCGAGGCCTTAAATGGACACTAAATGGGTAGTCGAGAAGCGCCTAGTTACTAGCTCAAAAATCTACTCATCAAGCTAATTACCAACAATTTACTTCCTAAAACATGCCTCACTCTATCCAGACTTCATTACAAAAAAGGAACAAATGCAGTCGATTGAGTTATTTTTGAAACTTATTCGAATTACCTCTCATGCTGCACTCTAAACTTGTTGCAAGTGACGTAACAACGCACTTTCACTGTCCCTCGGGTGAAAAGAGCCTACTGATGCACGTGTGTGGTTTTATAACGCATCAACGCACCATATAGAAACATTTATAAACCAAAGTAAAGCCCTCCCCTGAGATAAGCATAAAATGATAGGTAAACTAATCGATGTCGACTTTAAGGCTTTAGCAATGATTTGTGAAGCTGGAACTGGACAATGAATTAACAAAATAATTGGGTAATAAACAGCCACATATGTAGTAGAGAGAAGACTCACCGTACAACTCATAGCTGGATCTTGTTAATATTCGCCCGGGATTTGTTGTCGGATCAATTCGAAGTTGACATACGACACATTTGCTATCGTGAGATGCACTCGCTTAATTAGATACAATAAGTCAAATATCCCCAATATTCCATATAAGTTTGCTCCCTCAGCAATTCAAGACAATAATATCAGTGTAACTTGTTTTCGCGGCTGCAATGGGCGTCAGAGAACAACCAAACCATAAATCATGTGTACTTTGGCGTGGCAATATGTGCGTGTGAGAAAAACAAGAAACTGGTAACCCTTACACTGGGGATCCGAAAGCGCATCTTGAGGCACTAATTGATACATAGCAAGCTCTTCTGGAGTAGGCATCGGTGGTGGCTAAAATGGAAAAAATTCAACGTTTAAACACAAAATAAATGTTCAACAAATGTACCTTGTAGGTTTTTGCCAATTTCCGTTTTCGTTTAGGAATCAGCGCTTTGAAGTTCTCCTTCTTTTTACACAGATAATAATATAGCACGCAATCCTTGACTGTCTAAAATGCAGTTACTGACAAAAAACTCCACTTCACAAATCAATGAGCGTGCCTTGTTCTCAAGAAACATAGCGATATTCGCGTAATTCTTTCCGACAGCAGCCAATCTGTCACGAAAAAGAGCTTTTTCTTCATCGGTCCATGAAGCGAGAAACCCCTCAATCCTAAACAGAATGTCGTGTTCCACAATGATAATTGTCTGCATCGTAAGGTGAAATTGAACCGACCAATTCTTGTTGGCTTGAGCTGCATCCTTGATAAGTGCGTGCTTGTTGTCAAAGAGATTCGGCCTCACATTTGACTCATGTATGAGCAATGGTGGTATTGCAGCCGCGTTCCGCATCTTGAATTCCTCATCCACCTTAGGCTCAAAAGCCCAGGTTAAGAACAAATAAATGAACAGGCATATGTGATATAATTTAGAACGTGAAGAACTCGAAAGACAGTGTATATCGAATGGTCGCGACAGCTTTGAAAAAAAAAAATTATGGCCACCTTCTCGTTATTTGCCGCCTGCTCATCTTCTTGAGCTCGCATGCTGACTCGATCGGTTCTTCCTGCTCTCTCCTTCTCTTCTCTGGCTCTCTTCATTTCCGGGAAGGCTCGCTCGAATATTTCCCTGTTACGAAGATCGCGAGCTCTGAAGAGAAGAAAAATAAGATTCAATTAACAGTTTGCTCTCACATGCACTATAAGTACCACTCACATTTTCTTTGGACTGTTTGCCCACCGCTCCGTTTTCCGCAAGAAATCCCGCATGCAAGAATTGTAAAACTCATCATTGTACCTACAATGAACAAAGCTATTCCAAAGGCAGTGAAGTGAATTAATCAATGAAACCCGCTCCTTACTTGTAACATGTTACTTTCACTCGCTGCCTATGTTCAACCATTTGTCGAAGCTTTGGTCCAAAGGTCTGAAAGCGAACGCAATATCGATTAGTTTTACCAAAAAGAGCTTCAAAATAATACCTTTTGCTTTTGCATCAGTTGACTCACACCGGGTGCATCGTAAGGCTCATAAAACAACTAAATTAACGAACTTCGAGTTTTTGTAGCAGAAAAAAAAATCGGACACTCACAACTTCCTCTGCAGGTCTTTTTTGATTTGATCGATTTTTCGCAGTAGTTCGTTTTTTATTTTCAGCAATTATCCTTTGCCAAAGAGGAGCATTTTCCCGCTCATCAGGCTAAATGCGAGCATAAAATGTCTCAAATGAGATTGCGAAAAACAAAACCAACCTCCACAATTGGTACTTCTTTCACTTCTTGCTCGGACTCTTTTTTGATATTCTGAGTAATCAAAAATTAGAATGACCTCAAATTAAACCGCTATACCTTCAATCGTTCTCTCCTCTTAATGAGCGTTTCAACTTGTTGGTCAGCTTGTTTTCGATCTTTTTCTATAGCTTCAAGGCGGTCTGAGGTCGCTTTCTTTTCCGCCTGCTGAAAAGTGCATCACGGTAGGGAAGCAAACATATAAAGGGATTTGCTCAGCATAAACATATTGAGCTGTCAGAAACATTATTATTCAATAGATTGGTCCCCAATGAACAAACTTCAAGATGCACTCCATTCACCTCTTCTGTCTCTTTTTCGGATATAGTTCCACCAGGAGACGGATCGATCTTTATCCCAGAGAAACTCGCGCTCGTATCAACATCGAGGTGATTATCGTCTGAAAAAATAAATGAATATGATGCATGAACTTTAATCAACCCGCTCAACTGAGAATCATCTCATTAAGAGCATCAGTACACTTATACTCTATTTACAGCTCAATGAACGATTAGCACAAATTCATCAAATGATAATTTCCTCCTTTCCTTGATAGGGCATTTATTTTTTGGCACGACAATTGGAGACAATCATCAGAATGTACATGAATTCTTTCAAATAAAGCGAGCAGCTATTTTCTTATCAGTCTGATAGCACTTTCACGTACAAGAAATTTGGAAATGGTTGATTGAAGCAGGAGCATGAAACTAGCATGTAATCCACAGCGCTAGATATAAAATGATTTGACCTCTACTGCTGCCTTGCTGATGGCCCATGATAGGCGGGAAAAAGTTGGACATCAAGGATGGCCGTCGATGAGGATCATCTCGCGGAGGCTGAAGTGAAATTATCATTTACTTAACACAAGATCAGAACAAAGCAATTCAATCATATGCTTTCATTTGAAACTTTCCTACAAAAATAAGAGCCCCAACTAAACAGATTAGAAAAAAGGCCTAATGACGATAAAGTGAACAAAAACCTGATTTGTTGTTTCAGCAGCGGCTTCCTGATGTTGGGCTGCCTGGAAAATTGCAAACTAGCTGACGAATAGGAAAATTAAAAACATAGTCTCCATCTAGCAAAAGTGGCAACACACCTGTCGTGTAATGCCCTGTTGCAGCAATGATATCGACGGAGAATTCTGTTGCGCGGCTAGCTGAGCTGCATGCACTGACTGCTAAAATGATCATAGGAGAACGTGAAAGACGTAAAAATCAAGTTCAGAAATTTGGAAACGACTTCGCAACTTACTTGACCTAATGAAGTAAGATACTGGCTGCTAGGTTGCGGAGTGTGTGAATTTTGAGCGGCTATTTGAGCGAATGCTCTGAAACGAAGCATAAATGCACGAAGTAGAGAATATTCTCCGTTATAAACTAGAAACTACTAGAGAGTGTTTTTCAAACATTCTGCAGACTGAAACTTTTCTCTCAAGTTTTTTTTATTTTCATTCAAAGTGACACAACATCCATAATGAAGTAATACTCAAATTTTGTTGTTGTACACAGTGCGCACAGCATCTTCGGATCACTTGTTCCAAAATAAGCATCCCCAAAAACCTCCATTTTTGAAGGAGAACTCTGTTTTGATGTTGGCTCTCATTTATTTTTACCAATAACGCACTCCAGCTTTTCACTAGCTTTTCAAGCATGAGCAAGAATAAATAGACTTGAATAAAAGGGTATTATGGCATTCATCCTGTGGCGCTATGACGTGGAGCACAAATAATCTCCGTTGCGCGCTATATGAGTTTATCAATGAAAGATGAGAATTAAATGACTTATTGATTGTCATGCTACTTGTGTGACAACAAGCAAATTACAACTATTATAACTAACAATTTGTATGCAAAATATTGATCGCTTCCTCTAAGTTGTACTGCTTGATAAACCATGTAATCAGCGCTTCTATTCTACATCGCGGAAGTTTCACTCAAAAAAGTGGGAGAACGTGTGATGAGAAAAATACAGAAACATACACACAGACTAGAAAAAAACCGGCTGGGAATAAGAAAAATAAGCATATAGGTCCTGAAACTTCTAATGTCTTAAGATAAAGCCTACCTGAAAAAATCGAGACCTTGTTGAGATTGCGGTGCAGCAGATTCCGGCGCAACAGCTTGAGCACTACCGCCACCGGTGGGAAACATATTGAAAAGGCGATGGTAAAAAAGGATCCACTATTTTCCGAATTGTGTGATCCAAGTGTAGTCAATCGAAAAAGAGAGCAGGCAGTTTTTGCTTTCCTCGCACACAAAAAAAGCAAAAAACGATATTCACAAAGACGAAAAGTTTTGGAAATGGCCACCGCAAGTGATACCTTCTAAAAACTGCTTCTATATCTTGGCATGAAAAAACAGGACAATTGAAGCTTGTATCACTAGGATTCGCTAGTGAAAAACACCCTTACTTCTGGACTAAAATGAGAAAATACCAGGGAAACAAACTCCTGATCACTATCTATGATAGAAGAACGCTCACTATTACCCAGTACCCTTAGGAATAAAAAGAGCACTTCAGAACCTTATGAAACAGAAGAGAAAACGTATTTTGTTAGAGTATTTTGTACGGGGGCTGCCGTCCCGAGCCAATTTTAACGCGCTCCGAGCAGCTGCAGGTCATTAAATGTGGACTGGAGCACGGAATTTGGCAAGCGTCACTGGGAAAAATCGAGCAAAATTCTCTAAATGTTGGTAATTTCAAGGTTTAAGCCAAGTTTCTTCACTTAGTATGCTTTTAATAAACTCTTTGACTGATTTATGATGAATAATCTAGTTTTGAAGCCTTTATCTGCTGATAATGACTGCGAAAACGGTTGAAATGCTACAGAACTCGTCCAAAAGCGTTTGCTGCGTTTCCAAGCTCATTTTGAACGTCATCCTCACTTTTTTTATTCGGAACATTATATTTTGCCCGAGTTTTCCTCATTCCCAGCAAAGCCGGGGCGGTCTCCCTCATTTGGAATGCAGCCAACTCAATTTCGCCGTGACGTCATTTGACGAAGAGGGCGCGCGGTTGCGGCGCGGCCGCGGCCTTCACCGCTTTTATCACGTGCAATTGTTTGCTTCGGCCGGGTCGCCACCCAATTTCTGGCCACATTGCGACTGAGTCGTCCAGGTGCAGGCAAACAGAAGTCATAATCATGGCTACCGGGTCACACTCGAAGATCGTCGATGAAGATTTAGGACGTAAGTCAAGCAACTTGCTTGCTTTCTGTCTCATTTTTTTCTTTTCTCTGTTCTATTTGTGGTGGTGCTTTTTATATGTTTTTGAAGCTTTTATTCCTTTATGCGGAATAGTATCTTGCAGGAGTGATGGGAATATGCCGTTACCTGAATCTATCGTTCACTGAACCTCAAACTCGTGCAATTATCGATGTAAGTTTCGTGCATCGTCGTTCAATTGCGTTGTAGAGCGATGTTTTTCCGGGTCCACATCAATATCACGGCAAGTTCGACGCCGCAATGCAAACGTGCGCCGGCGCCGGCCAGGGGCCGTTTGCTTGCGTGGAATGCTAATTCCGCTCGAATCGATCATAGGGACAGCTGGCGTTTCATTGATTACTACGCGACAGTTTTTGCTGGACCATTTCAAGGGCATTCAGCAGACGTTGAGCGCGGCAGGGTATAGTGTGCTGGGAAATTGTTATTTCGGGGCGTCGCACATTTTGTTGAACGACAAGAAATGGAATGCATTGAGGGCAGAAATCGGATTGTTTTGCAAACTCAGATAGGATTTAAAGTAGGTGTAATATGAATCAAGAACAGTGCAACTTCAACCTAAGTAAGATTTAATTCCTTGAGCAGAATTGTCTGTTTTTTTTTGAATTAGGCTCAATCAGTTAACTACAAGTTTAGTTTTTCAATGCATACGAATCGCTCCTTTCGCTGTATTTTTAACGCATTTTTTCTCGTAGCCGAACTATAGGCGCCATTGCTGCTTTTATGCTCTATAGTATTAGCCAAGTATTGAAGCAGTTATTTCTCTCTAAGAGTTATATTCCTTGAAGTATTTATCCACGTTTTGCGATCGCAATCTTGCCTTCATATGTGTTTTGGGATTGCCCTTTCTTGACGATTTTGATGAACATGCAAAAATTGGTACCGCTTTAGTTAGGATACTCAGGACATATCGATGTTCATCAGGCGGAAATTAATCTCGAAATATGCTCAGTTTTACTGAACATCCGTTTCAAGTAACCTTCCCAAGATTGATTTTGAACTCGAAGAAGTTTGGGAAATGATGCAGGAGAAAAAGGTCTTACCGCCTTTATTCGCATGGTAGTTAAGAGGGCGAACACGGCGGAGATTCTCCGGGATCCAAGAAACTTAGAAAAGATATATATGTCGAAACAGATCCTTATAAATTTGCTTAGAAGATCTTCTGATAAATGTAAAAACAGATTTGATCTAATATTATGAGGCTCATTTGCTTTAGTATATCTCTGCCGAGGATAAAGAATTGATTAGACGCAGTTCTTCATTTCACTCAATTGTGTAAGTCTCAGAAAAATCACGTGAGGTTTCTAAAACCGTATTCTAGTTTCAAAACAGTGATAAACGAGAGCTCAAACTTGATCTCATAATATTTATGTAAACTATCAGGTTGCTTTTCGTATACATCCTTGAAATAACAATAATACGATTTTCATTATCCAAGATTCCAAGTTCATACAAAGTTAATAAACATCAAAATAAAAAAGCGATCAAACCATCGTTGTTATCTTTACCCAGATCTTCTCCGCAATGTTCGCGCGTTCAGTTATCTCCTGTGGACAGAAAGCAGGCTAATTTATCCTGCAGAGCACCCCAAAGTTTGTTGATGAACACGGCCGAAAGTGATATATAAGCAGATGTTTTTGTGTAACCATCGCGATCCTACCGTCTAGTTTTTCTCTTCCATCCGGCTTCGGAAGCGCTTCAGGGTGAATAAATTAGGAACACTCCTAATTTCGGTCGCATAAAGACACTGCCAGTGTATCTTAAATAAATATAGTAGTGTGAAAAATCATGAATATTGCTCAGTAGTAGATCCAGTATTCACTTGTTGAAACAGCTGCCAGTTTGTTTTTTCCAGTCATTACATTGCACCATCAGTCTTAGGTAAGGCTCTACTTTGATTTCGTCTGTATACCTTTTTTTCATAGAATCTGTCACTTTGGATGGCAAAGACATTCCAGCAGCAGATTAAAAGCAGACTAGGATTAGTTATTGAAGCATACGCTTTTATTAGCTTCCAGAACACTAAGCGCATGTCACTTTTAAGCATGAATTTCCTCTTTGTTTCAGGTGGAACCTTACAAGCGTTTATGAAAACATATCTTTTCTCAATACCATTTTCGCAAAAATAGATTCTGTCATTTTTGCGATAAAGCCATAGCTCGCAGGTGTCCAAGTACGAGTCCATACTTTGCAAAATTCCAAATAAGTCATTGCGAGTAAATACTTTGTGCAAATTACAAAGAAACCACGCGAAGTGCTTTCTACCCACGCCGGATCCATATCGATGGCCTAGATATGATGCAAATATACGTAGAGGCCTGAGATTTTGACTGTTGCTTGCGCTAATTCGTGGCATAACACACAGACAAACAAAACCAGAAGATCTTTATTTGTTATCAAAGATGATATTATGCAGAATTGCATACCCGAGTGAAAAACAGTGTGCTGAATTCGACAAGCTTTCATGGAGAAGTAAAATTGTTTTTACATGTCGTAGTGCGGCTTACAAGGTTGATGCGAAATTTTAAGATATCATTCAGTTTTCATGTTATGGTTACGGCTACGGATATATTTTCAGAAACTCCTTTTTTTAACTAACTCAGATCGCTTTTGTGCAAAAAAAGTGAAAAAAAATGGAGGAGTGAAAATTCATATTTTTACGTAGACATGATCTTGTATCCGTCAACAATCAAGTATTATTCCCCTTTAGAAAGAAAGAAAGTGCATTGCCGCTGTTATCGTTTCGCTTTCCCTTCAGTGGATATTGAACAGCTTGAAAGTACAACAGTGTGAACAAACAAATCTGGAAATTCATTTTGCTGACTGTGGGATATGCATACTCTATTTATTTGCTATATTTGACTTCCCTTTTACATTAGTCCTTTGCTTTCTCCATGCCTACTGTCTGTAGCGCTAAATGTCGATGTCAGCTTAGCCATATTGTTGTCGCGAATGCTAATTTCTTATCATCGAAATGAATTTTACTACGTTTTGGTGAATGGCTTCGAAATAAGTGATTTACTTCTTGATCACTTTCTAAGGGGATTGTATGAGGTGGGAGTCCCTTAGGTAAATCATCTGCTATCAACTTTTACTAGGAAATCTACTCCATGACAAGACTGCTTAATTCACTACAAGACTATCTTTGTTAGTGGTGACACTAAAAAAATTCTAATATTTGTTTTTTTCAATTCCGCTTTCTACCAGTGGACGAATAATAGGTTGATGTGTTTGCTCAAAAATTTTGGCAAGACAATTTTTTGGTGTGAATTTTGAATGAATTTTTTTTGCATTGCTATACAATGACTTTTGTCTTTTTTACTTTTGCTTGTAGGCTATCTCATTGGCATTGCTCCTATATCTCTAGTCGATGTAAAATCCATGAAGAAAGAAGGTTGAATCCTCCAATTCTTCAAAGTTCAGCACAAAATTGCGCATGAAGTATGGCCATTCACTCCGTTCTTTGGCTAATGCATCGAAGCTCAATCTTCTTCAGCTGTAGTAGACAACAGTCTAAAAGCTCTTCTGTTGCAGGCATCAAAAAATGTTTTTACATACTTTGTTTGTGATCCGCATATAAATTGTGTGCATTTATTAAAATGCTTGGTTTTAGGAAGATGCTTTTTCGACTTCTTTAGGACTTTAGTGATCACGAAGCACCGTATAATAGCACCATAAAACTTATACGTAGAGTCATTCTTTGTTGCTTGTTATGCTTGAGAATATGAAGAGAATCTGGTAAAGGATTGACTTTTAGTTATTAGTTCCAGGCCATCAACGCAGGCGCAAATCCTACGGCTCTAGTCCAGTGGTTGCAAGAAGTTGAGAAATCGAAAAGAGAACCTGCTTTGGAGCATCCTTCTATGGTACGGCGGTGACCATTCCACGTATATTGATCTTATATTATGGGTTTATCGTTGATCTCATGACTATTGTTTGTTTATGTCGCTATTTGTTCGCACAGCTGCGTAATAAATGTTTTATGCATAGTCATCGCTTTGTCATTCGCGGCGGGTCATCATCCTTATTTTCTCTTCTGGCCTACTTCGAAGGTAACGGATTAACGGATCAATCATCGCAATAAAGCGAACGAGGTTAAGGTAGTTTATGTCAATTTTTACAAAATTACGAGAATTCGATGCGTACACGAAACCGATGGACGATTTTAGGGTTAAAACCCTTACTGGCGGAATGGGTATGCTATTTGTAGGCTTCGATTTTGTAGCGAGAACGATTGAGTGCTTTTCAGTGTCCGTCATAGCATCCGTTGTGATTGTTCTCTTAGCAATTCAAGAAACTAGTCATTATCTTGCTGGTGACGTAGTAGAGCAGTTATATGTGGATTCTACAACTTCTGACATAAAGCTTGATGTACATTTCGACATCACTTTTCATAGATTACCTTGTGCATGTGAGTTTTTGATATTAGTCACTTGACTTTCTTTTGTCCTTTGCACACTCAGATGTTGAGGAAGTCAAATGTTATAATAGGGTGGAAATCATGTATAATATGCACAGCATACAAAAGAAATACAATAAAATGGGCAGTTTCAATGACCTTATAAGGCTATGACATCTCTGTTTGCTTTGAATAAGCGCAGAAAAAATTCATTTGTATTCGTAATTAATCTTAGTTTGTTCCCATTGTAGTGTACCTTAAGGGTTTGCTACTTTCTCACTATCTGATATATTTTTCATTATTCTGCTACTGTGCGGGAGCTTGATAAACGAATCAGTGCCATACAAATACATTTTGTTCTGCTCGATTTCGTTGAAATCATTACGAATCTGGTCTTTATGTCAAGGACATTACCAAGCCTTTGTTTTGCGATCAAGTTTCACATTGATGTGCACAATATTCGAACTTATGAGCATTTTCAGTAGTAAGTTTCTTGTTTAGTCATCACTGTGGATGTGATGGATGTCACTAGCGAGAATCAGGATGATGTACAGAATGATATTTTCAAACTGCGATTGGATAGGCATGGCCAGAATGTTACTAGTGACGTTCAGAAAATTGGTAAGCAGCCCACAGATTTTGATTTTCTTTTATCTTTATCTACCTGTCTATCTCTATCTTTAGCTTCAAATTTTTTTGACTATAGCATTGTTCATGCTTGATTTCCAGGGGTTAACAGGAACAGCACTGCGGGTGACGTTGCCGTTACAACACCGAAATGCGGCAGCTGCTATGGAGCGTTACCCGCCGGAAGGTGAGACGGCTTTGGCAGATGTTAAAATAGTAATATTTGCTGCTTTTCTCCAGTTGTTGCAATACCTGCGACGAAGTGAAAGAAGCATATCAGTTGAGGGGTTGGCAAGTGAATATAGATGAGGTGGTGCAGTGTCAGGTAAAGAGAAGTTATTCATTCATTCATTACAAGTAATTTGTCATTAACTTAAGTGTCGTTGTTACAGTTCGATCCATGGTTGAAGAAAATGAAGGATTTTGAAGGCGAAGGATGTCGTGTTTATGGGAAAATTCGTGTGGCTAAAGTCGCTGGAAATTTCCATCTTGCCCCTGGAGAAGCACACAGGGTCATGAGATCGCATGGTTGGTCGCAGTCATTAGGGAATTTCAAGCTTGCCATAAAATGGATAAATATATCCAAACTGGCGTTTTTGATGCGAGACGTGTACTTTACAAAGTGTTATTATCATCTTTGTTGGTTTGAGGAGTTAACCTTTTCATTTGCAATATCTGAATGGAAGAGTTCACCAATCACAATAACTTTGTCTTTTTTTTAATCTTATCTAGTTCTATTTAGTTCACGATTTTCACAGTCTTGACCTTACTCGCTTCGATACCGCTCATCGAATAAATCACCTAGCCTTTGGAGAAGAATTTCCTGGGAAGGAGTATCCATTGGATGGGAAGAATTTCGATGATGGCAGACGTAAGTTCTGAAAAATACTGCTTTACACCTTTATTTAATATAACGACTTTCCGCACTTTAGTCTGCTTTTGATGATTGTAGTAAGTGCATTGTTGCCGCTCTAATGCAGTAGGAAACATGTTTAGCTGATTGTTTTCCTCTCGCTATTGATCGTATTTATTGGTTTCTAATCGTATTGGATTATGTTGCAGCGGCTATAATGCATAATTACTATGTGAAGATTGTTCCTACTAGTTATGTGTATATGGATGGCCGAGTGGAGAACAGCCATCAGTTCTCGGTTACAACCCATCAAAAGGATATAGCGAAAGGTAGTCAGTTTGAGGCTCTCAAGTAAATTTGGCATCCTTTGTTTGGTTATACTTTATCCACCATCATTCTCACTTTCTGACTTCAAACATCTTCAGGGGTAAGTGGAATTCCTGGCTTTGTGGTGCAATACGAATTTAGTCCACTAATGGTTCGACGAGAGCTGAAGCGACAGTGAGTCAATGTTTTACAATCTTCTTGGGAATTTTATGTCATTCGTTTCTAGGCATCTTATCACTTTCCTTGTTTCTCTGTGTGCCATAATTGGAGGAGTTTTTACGGTTGCACAGTTAATAGACTCTGTGATCTATCGTTCTTCGCGGGTTTTCTTGCAAAAGCTTAGCTTAAATAAACTTGGCTGATGTGGTTCTCTAGACTTACGCGGCATGTTGTACTCAATGGTTGCGTTGTTGTGGATATAGTATTTATTTCCCTTTTTTCCTGTTCGATTCCAATCAGTGCCTTCAGGTGGGAGCTAATATTGTTCTAATCTTGACTTAACTGTTGTTTTCCGTTGTTAAATTAAAAAAAGTGAACTGCATGCATTGTTATTGGTCTGTGATCTTATTGTGGTCAAGAGCAATTTAATATGTACAGAATAAAATTTCTATCCAGATTTTGTAACAGTTTCAGAGTATTCTTTCGATCAGCATTTGTGAAAATTTCCGAGCACGCTTGATGTACATTCATGTCTCGTTTTTTCAGAAACAATAATATTTGAAATTGCATTTTCGATCTTTTGCAATTTATTACACTGAACACTTTGAAGACCTAAGAAATTGCCTTCAGCTCCTCTTCAGCCTTATGTTGCAGTATAATTAAGACCAGCCATAAATGATTGCCGTTGCTATCAGATGATTCAGGCTGTCTCACTTAAAATGTTCCTGACAGAAGCGAACTAAAGCATTTGTAGCTTATCTAGTCATTTGAAGGAGGCGAAGCAGTCAGAGAAAGAAGTTATAAGTAAGATAAGGAAAAATGCTGGGTATTGCGTGCTGATGGGAGGTGATGAGTACATGAACATGTCCAAAGTTTAGATTGATTTGAACATTTGTTCAAGTTATCAATTTCCAGAGCTTTTGGTGTCATTTTATATATCATTATCCTCAAACTAATTAGCGCCTAGGTTATCCCTAGACAAGCAAGCTATGATAGCATCTATACATTCGCAAGAGCTCGATTTAGTACGTAAAGTTTAATTTCAAGAACTGGAAAATCTCGAGGATCCGCAAACCGAAGTCCGTCTGAAAATTTTTGCTGGTTCTGTGTATGAATGTCTGATGCAGATGAGGTGGTGAGCAATTTGGAGCTCCGTAGGATTTTTCGTACAGAGATCCAATTATTCGGAGCATTGAAATTTCTTTTTGTGTTTTGGCAAATTTTAGTTTGGAAGCAATATTGTAGCTTGGTTTGATCTACTGAAGCCTAACTTGAGTCATGAATAGGAAAGAATTTGGCAGGATTTTATCGTTATGAAAAAGAATTATGAGACCAGAGAAATGAGAGATTCACTAACGACATCTTTGTTATTCACCATATACAAATATGATAACCCTGGTAGTGTGCTTTGTTTCATTCTGCACAAGGACTGTATTTTCTTAATTCTAACATTGCACTTCGCTGCATTACGGCCAATCCCGCTGTAAGGAAATTCATTTTACGGCAAAAGTGCAGCGAGAAAGATAGTTCTATCCAGTCGCGGTGGTCCCAAGACTTCAGTTTGAAGGGGATGGGAGCGACGACATTTTTTTTTTGAAAGTGCGTGGCAAGCCACGCACTCCAGAAAACTCTTTGGGGTGTTCTCCAAACTTTTTGAAGCCCATGACCCCGAAATTCAGGAGAAGGGGGTGTGGCGTCAGCTACGGAACGCCCCTCCCCCTCAACCCTTTGCGCCATCTCCCAGCACTGTAGATTAAAGTTTGCAATAGAATCGATAAAGTCCCATTTTCCTTCTTGTGACGTCCCAAGAAGACGAAATTGGAAAAATGGGACCCCTCCCCGGTGCTCGCAAATCTCTGCTTCGGGGGTGCGCCAGATTTGGAGGAGCCCCGGAGCAGCAAAACGCGTGAAATGGGAGGGCTCCGGAGCAATGAAGTGGCAGACCCCGGCATTTGCCCTCCGGAGGTATCCCTTCGACTGTCTGAGATGTAAATCTTTAAAGACTTACAAAGTTTCCTAATCTATTAGCTATCGAAGTTACTGGGGTGTATGCCTTTCTGAACCGCTCCGTCCTAGAGCTAATTACTCGGCCCGCCCTAATTACTTCGCCTTTCTTACGATCTAGCAGAGTTTTCAGATATTTCTGAGCCCAAAGCAAGTGAGGCAAACGAATAATGATAGTGAGGATTTTGAATTATGAAATAAAAAGTTGGAAAGGTTGCATGTTTTTAGGCCATTTCGTGATTTCTTCGCCCTTCCCAGTTTTCAAAACGCCATGAAGTCTGCACGTGCTAAAGAATTTATCTAAGCCGCCCGGGTGCGTAGCAAGTGTTACCCAGGCAGCCGCCTGGTGTCGTAGCCAGCCGCCAGAGCTGGCACCAACGCCGCGGCTCAGCTACCGTAAGCGCGCTCTCGTCGTCCTCAACCTCTCGCAGAGAGATTTTCGCAGCAGCCTCGCACCTCATCGCGCTGAGGTGCGAGGCTGCTGCGAAAATCTCTCCGCGAGAGGTTGAGGACGACGAGAGCGCGCTTACTGTAGCTGAGCCGCGGCGTTGGTGCCAGCTCTGGCGGCTGGCTGCGACACCACGCGGCTGCCTGGGTAACACTTGCACGCCTCCCAAGCCGCCCGTATAAAACATTTTCGAATTTTATGGGAATCAAAATCTTGTTTGATTCTTTTTATCATGAGAATGCCTTTGCAGTCCAGTTCTCTAATGACAGCACAGCTCTCGCCTACCCAAGCGGCGGCAGCACCGACCAATCAGAGGCGCGTCGTAATTAGGCTGCTAATGCTAGCGGTTCAGAAGGGTCGTCTCCCAAGTTACTGCTTGCTAAGTTTGACGGCTTTTGGTAGAGAATTGATCGAATTATTCTCAAAATTGCCAGTAACTGCATTTACATGAGTTTTTCAGTTTCAACACTCAACGTCCTTTTAGCATACACCCCTTGTAGTGCTCGATTGTTTCAGAAACAGACTTTTTTGGTGGTGTTTTATCATGGCACTACTACGGTAGGCATTAATTATTTGATGCTTATGTCAAGTTGACGAGTTAGCTATTTTCGCAACTTGATCCCTCTACCCTTAGTTTCTTTCATTTGCTATAACATAACAGTTTCTGACTAGATATTTATCTTTATATCATAAATGTGGGGAAAATAATTGGGGAGAGGACCACCGAGCACCCTAGAGTGCCAGCTCATCTGGAGTTCCTGGGCTCCGCCCAGTTGGCGTGGAGACTGTCGGACCATCTAATTAGTGTGCGTCTCGACATGTCCGTTCCATAATAAAGCTCGTCCACGAGCTTTTGAAGTGGTCATGGTTGTTTGGAGTTGTCATCATTGGATTCGTTTGGACGTTGCCCATATGCATGGTTGAGATTTCATCATTGATTTGGACGTTGCCAATGTGTACAGTTGACGTTGCCCATATACCATTTGATGCTTCGGTTGGAGGCGCGATTGCTTCAAGCGTTGATCGCAGGATTTTTCTTCACGGGACAGGGGGAAAAGGACTTGTTATTGGAGGCACTTTCGCACGCCCTGTCAGAAAGAGCTCGTCTCGAGCAGGGGATAATTGAAGCAACATGAAGAACGGTAAGCAACTCCAGTACGGAAGAAGGGCTTCCGTAATCATTTGGGGAGGCGGTCAAGGACTGCCGTATGGTGGTAAAATATGACATAGGGTATAGGGAGGCGGATAAAGACCGCACTAGTGAAGAAATGTGACATACGGGTATATGACGACATCCGTAAAGAAATAGTGAGCAGGGTTGTAGAAAATGAGATTACGAGCTGGAATAACACATAAGTTGGCAGTAGATAGCAGAGTAAAGTATGTTCGAAGACGACGAAGGAACGGAATTTATATTCCGAACATTTGTCGTTACAGAGCATGGTAAGCTGTGATATGGACATGTAAGTTTACAACATAATTTGACAAATTTTGAACAATTTTTAGACAGCTCAGGAGGGAACACTTTCCTAACGTTGATTACAAGGGCGTTGATGAAAAGTGGTTGACACCTCTTTGACGAAGTTGGATAAAGATGATCAGTAGATACCCATCGCTTCGGTAGTCGAGAATCATCTGGCCCAGAGCTGTATAATCTTCTCACAAATTAGTAATTAGGCGAAGTTGACCTAAGCGCGGACTAGGCAGTATTGTTTTACTGCTTGAAACGGTTCCGCCGAGCTCAGGACGGCTCCTGGCGCCTATATGCCACTCAAGATTAGATAATGACGCTCTCAATTGGCGCGACCGGAAAGGGGCAGCTGGTAATCCCATGGGCTATCATATAGCCTATGGAATCACCATAGGCGACATAGCCTGCAGACTATCCACAAGCGTCTAGATCGCCTGTGGAACTGGCGACAATTAGAAACGGCTATGGTAATTAAACACGATTATAAAAATTTTGTACATATGTACAGTGCCGGCGTTGGCGATGGAGTCCCTGAGTTTGTGTAAAAAATGTGATGGAAAATGAAAAAAATGATGAAAATAAATGACTGAAAATAATCTGCAAAATTGTAGGAGAAATTGGTAAAAAATGGGAATAAAATTGCATGTAGTAAATAAGTTTTAGGAAAAAAAATTTAGAAGTTGTAAAGTGAAAATATGAAAATTAGAAAAATATGAAGAATATTCAAAATAGTTAGGGTGGGAAAGGGAGGCTAGAGGGAAAGAGTAAATATAATATTTACGGTTCTTCACGTGGTATCACGGTAAAAACTGTAAGGAATCACAGCAGATAAAAAATTCATATACCATATTCAATATAGTAGTATATTCATTATCCGATATGAAACAAAAAAAAGACTGTCAAACACACAGTAGGTAAAGAATACATGATTATATTCATTACCCACTATGACACAAAATACGACAAATAAGAAAAAACACACTCAGACCCATCGCCTGGACTCAAGGGAAAATAGAAAAGGAAGGGTAAATATAGAAAAGGGCTATGTAATTCACGTAGGAGATGAGGGCTGATGCCGGTGGTGGGATTAGCAAAGATCTGCTGAATCTATGCTTACTTTTTTTGAGAAAAGTTATGCGACAAAATCGTTCAGAAAAACCCGGGACCTCCATGTCAAGTTGACGAGTTAGCTATTCTCGCAACTTGATCCCTCTACCCTTAGTTCTTTCATTTGCTTTAACATAACAATTCTGACTAAATTGTTTTATCATTATAACATATATATATATATATATATATATATATATATATATATATAAATGTGGGGGAACATAATTGGAGAGGGGGACCACCGAGCAACCGTGGAGTGCCAGCTCATCTGGAGTTCCTGGGCACCGCCCAGTTGGCGTGGAGACTGTCGGACCATCTAATTAGTCAGCGTCTCGACACTTCTGGCAAGGAATATATTCATACATACTGAATCGAATGAAAGTAGACGCTCCCAAGTAAGCAAGCAAAGAGAAGGATGAAGTTGGCGATTAGGCTAACCAGGTGGTTATATGAGCTAAAACAAAGAACGGATGAAATCTCCAGGTATTACACATGTTTATCAATTTGATCAGAAATGATTACGCGCACAGTTTCAAGCGAAAAACTTGCTGAAAGCGTACAATGTATCTTGAAAAAGGCAATGTCCGAAAAAGTTGATGAGATTTTGTGCTTACCAGGCCTATTCGCTTTGCTGAATCCAAAAATCTACACTGGAGAGCGCGAAAACGGCGAAAAAAGGCTCTAACGCAGGAGGGAAATTAGAACGGGCGAAGTCTTCCCCGCTGTAAAATTCACGCACCCAGCTTCCGAAACGATCTTCTCAATTCAGCTAGCCGCCCTGACATCTCCACAGGCCAAGAGCGAATGCGTGTCCTGAAATCGGACCGAAAAGATCGCTCGGGAAGCTGGGACCGCGAGTTCCCAGCTTGCGGAGCAGGAAGACCCCGCCCACTTCGGATTTCCCTTCTGCGTTTGAGCCATTCGCCTTTTTCTCGCTCTCTAGTGTGGATTCTAGGATCCAGCATAGCGAATAGGCCCGGGTAAGCACAAATTCTCAAGATCGACTTTGCCGTAGCCGACGCTACCGTAATTTTTATTCGATAATCATGTACTGATGTTTTGTACGATTCCGCGAACCCAGTTCGCAAAACAGTGTTTTTGTCTTGTTTGCGATTGCATTCAACAAAGGAAGCTGCCAGCTGGCACCCTTCCGAACACTTTCAAGTTTGGCTCCTCCTTTGGGAAGGCTAATTGTGAGTGAGTGTAAGCCGGAGAACCCGGCGTTTTCGTAGTGTTTGTTAAAGTGTTTTGCCGGAGAACCCGGCTTGGGAGTAAAGCAATTTATCCAACCGCGTTGACAGAAGCACGGTAAAATACAAATCCACTGAACCCCAGCACAGTTTTGGTGCATCGACCGGGAAAACCCCAGCCAAAAAAGCAAGTCAAACCTTGCTAAATCTTGTCAAATCAAGAGAGTCGCTTTTGTAGGAAAACCTTCTTAATACCAGCGCCAAGACGCTGAGAACTTTGACGAATAATGTCAAAGAGTTCCGAAAGCCAGTAGATTCCGCAGAAGGTAAGCTGGCCTACGAAGAAGCAGCCACTAGCGCTCCTCGGGCTTGCGATCCAACCACAACTCAACAGCCCTATCTCAGACATTCGCGGTTGAGTCGCGCAGGACAAAACGAGGTGTCGCCACGGAATGCCTGCTCGATTCCCGAAATCGATGTCGGGCAAAATCAGGACACCTGATTTTGTTTCGGGACAAAATTACGCGACACCAGGTGTTCCGACGGACACATTCCGTACAAAATCCAAACACCTGCGGGAGACACCATAATGTCCCGATCGCGTTCAGAGGACGCGGCCTACGCCCTTATCAACAGCGTTTTGCGTCCTCTGTGCCCTCTCTCATGCCACCCTTTTCACTCACCTTGAGCCCTTGATCTCTTTGGGTCCCATTTCTCACGCCTGTTACTTTTCTGCTAGTAAAACCTAGTCTTACGTCATGAAATTACTAATAAACACCACATTATCTTCTCGAGCAGGCTTTACAATGGAAGCGAAATGAAATGCCAGAAAGCAGCAAATATAGGATTTAGGAGCTCTACGATTGCGACATAAGATTACGAGACAAATCAAAAGACATGTATGTAGACAATATTATCGAGCTTCCTCCTTCAACTTCCTCTTCATTGCAATCGGTCCTCTCAATCACTAGATCTTCCTTAGTGATAATGCTGCCTTCTATACTTTCGATAACGACACGCTTTTTCTGAAAATCAAAAACTACAATACCAGTGATCATATAAAACAAACAATCACCTTTGACGAAAGAAGCGAGGCTCTTTCGGGGATAAAATGGTAAGTGCGGATCTACGATCTGCAAAATTACAGTTCAAAGTTTTTCTGCTGAATAAGTCGAATTTTGTCTCACATATCATTTATTCAGTAAAAAGAAACTGCCGTGTTAGTGCCACTTGGAACAAAAAACATGTAGACCAACCAGCCATCCACTCGAGCTTTTTTTCCCTTTTTTGTAGTTGAGAAATGATCCAAAACGTAAATGGATTTCTGCTTAGTGCTGTTATTTTCAAAAAAAGTTGGAGATACTACCATGCTGGTTAATCTCTTCATATCAAAGATCGTTATGCCTTCTTTAGCAGGAAACCATTTGATTTCAAGTATTCACTAGTCCAATCCTTTTTCTCTTTCTTTATTGTCACCAAACATTTGCCGCTTTCAACATTATGTATGTTGAATTTGAATGGTATCAGATCACTTCGACCATTGCTATTTTTTGAATATACTGGGATACTAGTGAAGCAAGGGGTCATTGCAGCAGCAATTATAGAGATAATTTTTTTACGTCGAAGATTTACTCATACTACTCATACTCATTTTCATATATGAGGTCGTAACCGATCATCTCAGCCATAATTCAACATTTCATATTGCCACTGCAGAAGTAGTGGGGTTTGGGCCACCTCGGATCCTAAGGGAGGACAGACTAGAGGGGCTTTCAGAAAGGGGAAAGAGGAGATTTTAGAGAGCTTTTCCAAAGAAATTTTCGTGAACGAGGAAAAAAAAGTAAAGTTTCAAATGAGAATTTTAGAAGATAAAAAAGTGCCTGGATTTTGGCTGTGTGATCGGTGATTCGAACCTTTCGGCAATGAAAAACCAAAGCATGTGCTCTATAAACGTGGAAACGGAATATTGAGAACATTTGCCCCATTTGGAATAGTGGACTGAGGGGTACAATACCGTGGCTGGACAGTCACGTAAGTACAGCTGGCTCCTGTCTGCTGAGTTAAAAATTCCTATGACATCCTGACAGAGATCAAGAAAAAGAGCGCCCACCTTCGATCTTCAACGAAAATGCAGAGATCTTCGCTAGAGCTGCTATTTTGGACAGGCGGCCCCATATGAAACAAAACAGCGTAAACTACTGTTGTAAGATAAGCAGTGGATTAAAGCTTGTCAAATATACTATACAGAGTGTCTTGAAAATATGCACACTGTTTGATCGTCAATAACTTTCTTGCCTAAACGTCTTTCGGACTTGAGGTATCATTCCGTAGAGCGAGCTTAAACTTACCCTTTGGAATAGATCACCACTCGCTCTTCACCATTGTAGGATTACGGTAGGAACTGTAAGGAGGATTTTAACCCATGAAAAGCGGTATTTTGGCTCAGAAAGAAAGCCAAACAAAAGAAACTTTGAAAGCTGGGCTAATCGAAATCGCTGATCCTAAATATGAGTTTTGCACTCCAGTATAGTGCTTTCATAAGTTATTTCAGGTTTAGGTCAACAATGTTTTTCCAATGTTTGTCAGAAATTTGAATCCGGCATCAAAAAATGTTCGAAAAACTGGTGAAAAGTTATGTGGAATCAGCATGTCTGAACACCTGCTACACACATTTTCAGATTTTTTTGAAACTATTTCATCAAAAGGCCTATTCCACAGTAGCGCTGTATGCTGAAAGTTCATTCCGTAATCCTACAGTAATAAAGAGTGATAATGATTTGTTCCAAACTGCAAATCTAAGTTGATCCTCGCCCTACAGAATGGTACCTCACTCTCGACAAAAGGCGTGAAAGCAAGAAAGTTGTTAACGATCAAACATGTGCACATCTTTCTGGGACACCCTGGATATCGATGAAGTAATGTGAAAGAGGAAGAACAGACATGCCCAGTCAAAGAACATCATTCATGAAAAAAAAACAGTCGCCATTAGATAATACCAGCCTACGCTATGGAAAATCCTGAATGATGTCAATAAGCGATTGAAACAAATGTAGAGGAAGAAGTGAAAGCAAAAACGTCGAAGAAAAGAGCAGTAATCAGCGGAAATCAATCAATTCAGAAATGGCAGTTATTTCGCAATTTTTAAAACCGCCACTATGATATAGCGCGTAGTGCACTTCGGAACAGAATTGCACGAAAATACGAAACTAAAATAGTGACTCCCGCCGGTGCAGCGGATTTTGGTGCGGTTCATTTTGTGGGCGGATCTTCTGCGCGACTCAACCGCGAATGTCTGAGATGATAGAGATATATCCAGCCATGTTAACCCAAAATCGCCCCTTGCAAGTATAATAGTGCAAGTTAATAATGGGAAATACACATTGTCTATCATGGAAGTATACACTAATAACTTGATCATGCGGCAGATCATTAGTTTTGTAACAAACACTGATGACCGTATGAACTTAGAGTAAACTCACCAAGACTTCGGATGTTGAATGTACATCACCATGGTGGTTTGGATCAAAGAGCCATACCTTATCCTTAACATACCAGACATGGAGCGGTTATATATCGGTTGAAATTGGTGCTCTATACTTTATACTACCTTCTACTACTATGGAAAATAGAATGGGCTACAGACCTAGAAGAACTCAACCTGCGAAAGTAATGAGCACTCTGCATGTAATCGCAGAAAGATTCGCTCCGGGAATGCAGACAATCAAGTTAGGTGGTACTGATGTGGACAGCCAGAGAAGGGGAGTTCAGAATCATAGCTTATAATGACGTTCGATTTACTACAACTCCTTAATGATAAATTCGAGAATCTTCGCACAATTTCATTTACAAATTGTGGCTTCGACAGGGACGCTACGACATTCCTAAGCTCTGGCGCATGCTCGTTATATAAACGAATTAGAGATCTCACTACTGAAGAGGGGTATGGTTCGACCCAGCTCTAACACGTGCTCAATGTCTAGAACGATTGAAAATCTTATTATTAACGGGATTTAGTTCTACGCCATCGTCCACCACCGTCTCCACATGTGTAAACTCGTCCGCAAAATAATCGCCGTCTTCCAACTAGCTGTACCCTATTCGCAAAGCCAGCCACCGCCAATAATTGCATTCCCGAATCCACCGTCGCCTCACCGTCGTCTCGCCAATGGTATCCTCAGTATTATGCTTTTGTTCACTTTTCTCCTTCTTATTAATTCCCACTTTTCCCTCTATCCTCTTCTTATTTTCCATACCCCACTCAACTGTGTGTCGTTTGATCATGTTTGATTTCCCTTTTTATCACTGCTTTCTGCTACTGTTAACACTCTCGATCGAATGTATACATGCTACCCGAGATCATGCTAACCCATCTAAACCATCATTCTCTTCTGCTATTGCACCGTTTTTTGCAGTTACGCTATTCTTGTAAAACTACTTCTATCTGACATTATTCTGTTTCCATTTCTACTGGGCCGGAATGTCGTAGCCGACGCCACCGTAATTGTTATTCGATGATCTTGTACTGGCAGCCTTCCGAACACTTACAATTTTGGCTCCTTCCTTTTGGAGAGTCAGTTGTGGTTGAGTTGTAAGCTGGAGAACCTAGCATTTTCGTAGTGTTTGTTAAAGTGTTTTGCCGGAGAACCCGGCTTGAAGTAAAGTAATTTATCCAACCGCGTTGACAGAAACACGGATTCAAAAATCTACAGAACCCCAGCACAACTTCGAGCAGATTTTCCGCTTGATATAGTGTGCTTGCAGTGGATGTAAAATGCGGTGAAATTTGCGTGAACAAATAACCACGCCAGTAATGCCAGCATTTCGCACGCGCAATTGTCCGTCGTCACCCGCATAGCTAAATTGTTCACGCGCAAATGTTACCGCATTTTACCTGCAGTGCAAGCACACTATATTAAGCCGAAAATCTGCTCGACTGTACTATTGTACGCTGTTAAAAGCTCGAGACCTAAACTAGGGTGGACAGTGCCTTTGATGCGATGCTCTTCACGAATTTGGCGGGCTTATGACTCCTAAGCCTTAGAAAAGAGGAATGGCTGCAATGCCTTGAAAAATTTTTTCACACTTGTTTGAACTTTTACGATGCAAAAATAACTGCAATATCGTACGCGTGAAAAAAGTTATATACTTACGTGAAAGAATTTGTTGACAAAATTTCTTTACATTTTAGATTTTCGGACATGCAGCTTACTAGATGCTATACAAGAATCATGCAGTTGAGAACGAGAACTTACGTCGTGAGAGCATAATATGCATCAGCACTGTAAGAATCGGCTGCAGAGTTTATGAAAAGTGATAATGAAGGTGCTTGATGTATGTTAACGTTACCGATATTGTTGATATACAACCAACCATTTGCTAAATGAATAATACATAATAACAGTGCATCAACTATGTGTTATGTTGTTGCATAAGTTCTGTCCGATTTGAATTTTTTGAGTTCAAAATGTCATATCTTCTTTCAAAGTCAACTTTTTCCCGAGATCTTAATTTCTTTAAGTTGAGCAGTTTCTTAGCTATCAGATACAAAACCTGCGAAAATCCATGTTAAGGAAAAAGCAAGAACTCAAAAACTTTACAGCGTTTTTCTGCAAACCTGTCTTTTTTGACGTGGCAATGGTCCCTTATGAGAACTGATAGGCATCTTTTCTAACAATGGATAGATAGAGAATTTTTCGTAGATTATTTTGCACCATAAAAGGGCCCATAGAGTCTGCGTTACCGAGAGATTTTTTTTGACCGAACAAAAAATTAGCCACTTTTTGACCTCGCCTCAGCGCATGTGTGCATGCCTATTTACGAAATGTGAGCGCCGAAAAGAAATTGGTGGATGGTGTCTGCTAGCCCTTCTTTACCATAGCAGCTACAACTATGAAGTCGATTACTTCTATTCGCAGAAAGTTATAGCTTGTAAAACATGCAGAAAATTAATGTTTGACAATAAATTTTACTAGCAAGACGTTTTCCTCATGAAACTGAACTTATACGTATGGTAGCCTATTACACCCTTATTCCGCAACCATTCAAAAAGCTTGACCTGAAGGGCGCATTGTGGAGATTTCCTCGCAAGAACATATTTCTAGGGTGAGAACGCACCTCGGCCACTTGGAGATTTTAGGCCTGAAATCTCCTTACACTAAAAAATTTATTGAAATTTGATATGCTTTAGAAAGCTCAAGAAAGGCACTTTCTATGATACTAACAATACTGCATTAGAAATGAAATTCTGAACAGCTGCTTTGAACATAAGGCAAAAAAAATCGGACAGAACTTTGCAACAACCTAATACAGTGCAAATTAGCGCATCTCTGGAACTTCTAGGACTTTCTGCAATGTGACTTATTTTAGAACGTATGCAAAGCAAAATTGCGAGGACAAGATTTCACACACCACATTTTTCAAAACGGGAGAATCGATTGAGAATCATTAAGCATTCAACAATTTCCGTCGAAGCAGGAATCGACTTGCGATTTAGACCTGTAAGGGTTGAGCCAGACTTCGCGGGGAAGCGGCGTCCGCGGCGTACGCAGCGTACGCTCGGTATATTTCATCATAGGAGCATACGCGGCGTACGCTGCGTACGTCGCGTACGTCGCGCAGTCTGGCCCAACCCATAGGAGCATATGCGGCGTACGCTGCGTACGTCGCGTACGCTCCTGTGGGTTGGGCCAGACTGCGCGACGGCCTGCCCTTAATAACCCTGCCTTGCTCACATAAGGCTCCCGCCATAGTGCCGAAGTTATGCCAGCGCTACGCCAGCATTTCGATCGATACACGTGTGTTTCGTTGGGCGGGGCTAGCTGACGTCCCCAACGAAATACACGTGTATCGATCGAAATGCTGGCGTAGCGCTGGCATAACTTCGGCACTCTGGCGGGAGCCTAACGGATATTCATTGTTCAAAAGTATGCCAATAGTTTTTCGACTCAGTGTTAGCTCGCTCAGCAATACATGCCTCTTTTTTGAAACCTGTGAAGAAAAGGGAGCAGGACGATATAAAACCTTATATGATGCTGCTTTTTACAGTGCTGTATCGGTTATCAAGCGAGTAACTCTTGCTTATGATCTTGTTTTGTTTGGTTACCGGTAATTTTTTTGAATGAGATCTCGTATGCCACGTTTTGTATGCCTTTTCCAGGGTTTTTTCTGTTTTTTCCATTTGCCATCGTGGCGACCGGCGGCCTGCACATCTTTTTGGCGCGTTATACAGTGCCGGCCAAAACTATAGATCCACTCTGAAAATTTCCGTGTTTATCAGTTTCTCAACGAATTGATCTGACATTCGGTACAGCGTGTGTTTAGCAGGCTACCATCAATAACTAGAACGGGCCCCGCTTTCGTTTGATTATTCAGGAAAAAAATTAGAAATTAAAATAATTTTCAGCTTCTAAAGTCCTTTGTGCATGTACATAATCGAAAGTCAAAGCAGTCGCTTCAATCCAGCTCTGACATACCTTTATAAGAAACGCTTATCTGCTTTTTCTTTCGCTCAAAAATACTTTCACGTGTATTTTGTTCCCGAAAATGTGTTTTTATAGTTGATTCCGCAATATTTTAACTGGTTTGGAAGCGATAGGGCTCCATCTATCTTACAGATGCTTAGCGAAGTGAGCACTGAAAAAATTTGAGTTCTCGTATTTAAAGCGCACCCGACATAGATCCAACAACAAGTTCGCGCTCAAATTTTTGTCTTCAAAATTGAGGTATACTATTTTTGTGAGGTCAAAATAATGTAGAAGCATTATTTACCAAAAAAGAAGTCTGCACCTGTACTCACGATTGTTGGCGATGTCGCATTCTACCATTCCTAAGCATAAGTTTTGCGCTTCAGTGATAATGCTAGGCAATCCAAAGTACTTACCAAGTGGTACCTTTCCTGAATTTTGCCACTATTTAGCTGCTAATAGTGAATACACCCTGTGTAGTATGTTGCCTTCTGACTCACATGAGCATTGTGGCCAAAACCAAGATAACTTCAAGGCTTTTTGCAAAGCAGTTTTTGCAGGAGGAATTCCTCTATCATCCTGCTTGCTAGCATCTACAAAAATCTGCAACCATCGCTGCAGACATACAAACAATGTCACTACTCCACTTCAGCTCATGGGAACATTGCAGGAAAAGTTTGAAGGCATAAATTTGAGCGCGGGCCTGCAGTTAGGTCTGTGCCGGTTGCGCTTTAAAGACGAAAATTCAAATTTTTTTCCAGTGCTCACTTCGTCAGCGTCTGTAAGATAGATGGGGCCCTATCGCTTCCAAACCAGTCAAAAAAACTGCGGAATCACCTATAAAACACATTTTTGGGTACAATACGAGTGAAAGCTGTTTAAGTGAAAAAAAAGCAAATAAGCGTTTCTCATAAAGGTATGACACAGCTGGACTAAGGCGACTGTTTTGACTTTTGACTATGTATATGCAGAGGAAACTTTGGGCGCCGAGTATTAATTTAGTGGACAGAAACTCTACGTGGATTCATAGTTTTGGCCAGCCTTCACACCTACTTTTTCAAAAATTTTGCTTTTTCCTTGAATAATCACAAAGCGGGATCCGTTCTGATTACTGATGGTAGCCTGTTAAACACACAGCTATACCAAATTTCAAACCAATTCGTTGAGAAACAGATGAGCTACGGAATTTGTCAGGGTGGATCTGTAGTTTTGGCCAGCATTGTATGAAGGGCTCAGTTTCGTCATCTGTGTCACAAGGATTTTGGTCGAATCAATCAAGGAGCCAAGCCGGGAGGACGTAAACGCGCTGAACCCCCTGGGTTCAGCGGCCAATTGGTTCCCCCAGTTGCGCTTCGAGGCCCCTATTGCGTGGCAAGTCAAGCAAAAATAATGCAACAAGAAATCTAGGCTATATGTATTTGAGCACTTTCTGAAATCAGGGTCGGTAGTAAGCCTGTCGAAACGCGTAGCTCAAACTCAGAGTCAACTCCGAGTTAATACGCACCTTTCAGAGACCATTAACACCTGCATAAACAAACCAAATGGGGGAAAGGGTGATATGGCAGGATACCCCACAAGACGTACTTTACCCCAAGTATGGCAACGTGGGGTGACTCGTTCCGCGCGAGACGCTACTCGACGAAACGCGCATCTGAGCTGTTTGGTGCTCGTTTCAGGCGCCCGCAAAACTCAGAGTTGACTCTGAGTTTGGTTAGAGAAGGAGAAATAGTGTGCAAATGAAGAGGTGCAGCAAAAAAGTCCTCGGGGTAGATTTTGCTCCGAGTTTCGTCAAGCACGATGGGGGGGGGGGAGGGGTAGGTGCACCGTTGAACACAAAAATTTAAGATTTTGCAAAATTTTGGCCCGGGGGTTATCCGACGTGCTGATCACAAATAGGATGCTCATTTCTCGCCATTCGCCCACATAACGAGGTTACGGTGAGGATACGGAAGTTGGGGCGAAAACTACCAGTGACGGACGCAGGATTTCCGTCGGAGGGGGGGGGGGGGAAGGGGTGACGAAAAATATTT